AGTAAGACACTTGTGCAACATCTGGGTATCTTTATTGTAGACGTTTCGCCATCCAGTGGCTTTATCAATACAAATTATAGGACATAACTTGAAGACAGTAGAACTATGTACAGAAGATGAGGTAATCAGTCCCTCAACCTAGGAGTAGGTGCGAACAGCACCATAGTCGTGGAGATTCTGAGAATCTCCACGACTATGGTGCTGTTCGCACCTACTCCTAGGTTGAGGGACTGATTACCTCATCTTCTGTACATAGTTCTACTGTCTTCAAGTTATGTCCTATAATTTGTATTGATAAAGCCACTGGATGGCGAAACGTCTACAATAAAGATACCCAGATGTTGCACAAGTGTCTTACTCTCATCTTGTCGGTATTATATACCATTCGTACACAAGGGATGATGTTGGCGAAGTGTTCGGACTCTAGGTGTTCCATGTATAAGTTGGGTAGGACGGCACTTATGGGGGACCCCATTCCCATGCCGTAGGTTTGTTTGTAGAGCTTGTTATTGAAAGAAAAACAGTTGAAATTAACACATTCAATTAAGTCAACAAAATCTCCGGGAGGTAGAGGAAGATTAAGGTCCTGATTGACTTTACGTCGTAGAACCTCGATGGCTTTTTTGGTAGGTACTTTTGTGAAGAGGAAAGTCACATCCAAACTGCTTAGTTTCTTGTTACGGATGGAGAGGTTACGGATGCGGTTGAGAAGGTCACCTGAGTGTTTAAGATGAGCGGGGCTGATGGTCCCCAGAAGGCAGGAAAGATGTTTGGCAAGAACTCCGGCTAGTTTGTGTGGAGCACTGCCTATTCCTGACGTGATTGGTCTGAGAGGAATATTGTGTTTATGAGTCTTGGGTAAACCATACATGTGTGCTGGTTTAGGGTTGCTTGGTAACAAGTACAGAAGTTTCTTCCCTTCTCTAGTGCGTTTGAGTATTTCTCTGGTTTGTATAGAAAATCTTTGGTGAGCGTCTCCCACTGTTGAGTGCTGATGGGTTCGTATGTAGACTGATCATTCAAAAGGTCCATCATTTTTAGTGTTGTAGTCACTGGTGTTGAGGATGACGACTCCACCTCCTTTGTCGGCGGTGGTGACGATAATGTTGGGGTCGTTGGCGAGGTTCTTAAGGGCAGTGATGTATCGTCTAGGAAGATTAGAAGTAGAAGGTTCACATAAAGCTGCAGTGAGAAGGCCCTGTATATAACCCTTCTGGAAGTTGCTGTCACTGTGTCTATGGTTCCTGGTAACTAGATTTAGTTGATAGTTAGGTTTGCGTATGTTGGTGGTAAATTTGAGTCCCAGACTCAGTGCTTGTTTATCGTAGTCGGTTAAGGTGCGTGACGATAAGTTGTTTATCAGGGATTCACGTCCCATTTCCTTCCATCGACTGTTAGAGCAGAGGTACTGAAGTTTGCGATTGAGTTTGATCTTCTGTTGGAGGTTAGCTGTGGTGACTGTGCTGAGAATACGCTCAGCAGTTTGTAATGGCAGTTTGTAATGGCTTGATAAAGCTCCTGGAGAGCGAAACGTTGCCACAATAAATGTCACATTAGTTGCACTTGTGTCCTTTTACTTTACATATTGTCGGTAATTCTACCAACTTTATTACAATCCTAGACACGTACTGTTATGTATCCTAGACATGTACTGTTATGTATCCTAGACATGTACTGTTATGTATCCTAGACATGTACTGTCATGTATCCTAGACACGTACTGTCATACATCCTAGACACGTACTGTCATGAATCCTAGACACGTACTGTTATGTATCCTAGACACGTACTGTTATGTATCCTAGACACGTACTGTTATGTATCCTAGACACGTACTGTCATGTATCCTAGACACGTACTGTCATGAATCCTAGACACGTACTGTTATGTATCCTAGACACGTACTGTTATGTATCCTAGACACGTACTGTTATGTATCCTAGACACGTACTGTCATGTATCCTAGACACGTACTGTCATGAATCCTAGACACGTACTGTCATGTATCCTAGCCCACGTACTGTTATTTATCCTAGACACGTACTGTTATGTATCCTAGACACGTGCTGTTATGTATCCTACACACGTACTGTTATGTATCCTAGACACGTACTGTTATGTATCCTACACACGTACTGTTATGTACTGTTATGTTAGTACTGTTATGTACTGTTATGTTAGTCCTTGTGGCTTAGCGCTTCTTTTTGATTATAATAATAATAATAATCATTGCTTAGTTAATCTTAAGTTAATTTTAAGCCAGCCCGTAATGCTATGCATAGTATAAGTGGCTTTGGCATACTGCTCTTATCTGTATTTTTTTGTACCTCTGTATGTGTGCACAAATTGGAAATAATAATAATAATAATAATAATATCCTAGACACGTACTGTCATGTATCCTAGACACGTACTGTCATGAATCCTAGACACGTACTGTTATGTATCCTAGACACGTACTGTCATGTATCCTAGACACGTACTGTCATGAATCTTAGACACGTACTGTCATGTATCCTAGACACGTACTGTTATGTATCCTAGACATGTACTGTTATGTATCCTAGACACGTACTGTTATGTATCCTAGACACGTACTGTTATGTATCCTAGACACGTACTGTTATGTATCCTAGACACGTACTGTTATGTATCCTAGACACGTACTGTTATGTATCCTAGACACGTACTGTCATGTATCCTAGACACGTACTGTCATGTATCCTAGACACGTACTGTCATGTATTCTACATAAAAATATTAATATCCTTAATTCTACAAGGTATACAGACCATAGCTGACATCAGTGACATACTACTATATAGAAAGTCGCTTGTTATGCTGAACATTTCCCACAAATTAAGTCAGTTTTGTCCCAGGATGCGACCCACACCAGTCCACTAACACCCAGGATGCGACCCAACCAGTCCATAACACCGGATGCGACCCACACCAGTCCACTAACCCCAGGATGCGACCCACACCAGTCCACTAACACCCAGGATGTGACCCACACCAGTCCACTAACACCCAGGATGCGACCCACACCAGTCCACTAACACCCAGGATGCGCCCCACAACCAGTCCACTAACACCCAGGATGTGACCCACACCAGTCCACTAACACCCAGGATGCGACCCACACCAGTCCACTAACACCCAGGATGCGACCCACACCAGTCCACTAACACCCAGGATGTGACCCACACCAGTCCACTAACCACCCAGAATGCGACCCACACCAGTCACTAACACCAGGATGCGCCCCACAACCGCCACTAACACCCAGGAGTGACCCACACCAGTCCACTAACACCCAGGATGCGACCCACACCAGTCCACTAACACCCAGGATGCAAACCCACACCAGTCCACTAACACCAGGATGTGACCCAACCAGTCACTAACACCCAGGATGCGCCCCACACCAGTCCACTAACACCCGGATGCGACCCACACCAGTTCACTAACACCAGGATGCGACCCACACCAGTCCACTAACACCAGGATGCGACCCCACCAGTCCACTACTACCAGGATGCGACCCAAAACAGTCCACTAACACCCAGGATGCGCCCCCACACCAGTTCACTAACACCCAGGAGGGCGACCCACCCAGTCCCCCTACTACCCAGGATGCGACCCAACCAGTCCACTAACACCCCAGGTGCGACCCACACCAGTCCACAAACACCCAGGATGCGACCACACCGTTCACTAACACCCAGGATGCGACCCACACCAGTCCACTAACACCCAGGATGCGACTCACACCAGTCCACTAACACCCAGGATGCGACCCACACCAGTCCACTAACACCCAGGATGCGACCCACACAGTCCACTAACACCCAGGTACCAATTTTACTGATGGATGAACATAGACAACTGGTGTATGGAAACACATCCAAATGTGTCTTCCCTCGCCGAGAATTGAACCCGGACATTCGCGGTGTGAAGCGAGAGCTTTACCTACCAGGCCACGGGCCACTATTGCAATTTGTTAAGTTATACCATGAACTGAGGAAAGACTAGAATATGGACAGCAGGTGTCTTAAGGAAACACAACCAATGTTCCCACCAGTACCGGGGATCGAACCACGGACCTGAGTGTGTGAGCTGAGTGCGCTACCAACCCAGCAAGGCTGTTATAATCATCAGTTAGGTGTGTTGTAAAGTCTGTTGATCTTTTCTTCTCTATAACGGCTATAATGTCTGGTTAAGATGTGTTTTTAATGTAAATTGAATAATAAAAACAACGATGCCATGGGATTTATTTTATATCCACCTTCATGCTTACTGTAAATAAGTGTTATTTAATAAACTAATACATGAGGTGTTTTAAAACAAATTATATTCACAAATATAAATGTGAATAATATTAATTATTAAATACTAGTAATAATAATTAATTATAATTAATATAATAATCATTATAATTATTATATTTATAATAATGATTATTATTATTATTATTACCGCTTGTCTTGCAATTATCATTGCACGGCATTCTCGCATTTATACATTTTTCCGCATATTTTTTTTTCTCTTCATAATGAGCAATTATGATAAGCGAGTTATTACGATAATTAGTGAAACAGTTCACTAAAACACTTCTGTCCACTTCTCAGCACTAAACTAGCAGCTAACATTTATATTCAAGTAATTACCTATATGAAAAAACATCTAGTGACGAAAAGTTGTACGATTATGGCGGTAGAATAGTCGGGCGGGCCAGGAGTGAGGAGAGGTGGCTAAATTTCCATATTGCCCATGTTTAGAAAAATGACATTTTCGTCTAAAACATTTGGAATGGGAATGATGCTGCTGAGCGTGGGATTGGATCTCTCAAAAAGTAGTATTGGATTCTATAAAGTAGGGTGTTAGATCTTATGTCAGATCGGGTTGGATTCTTTATATGATGTTTAATGCTCCAACGCGTCTATTGTACGACAAGTGACGATCATCGTCACCCTGGCGACTCATGACTCTATATTTGTAGATGGCTGACACAACAACAAAGTATTGTATAGGACGGACACTGAACTTTATTTAAATGATATTCGACTTTGGATCTGTGTACTACATGTATGGGGTAAAAAAATAAAAGCTTAAATAATGAAGAGGAGAAATGTGGATTGTGCTAAGCTTCGTAGACCGTTAAAACGGACCAAAATTGGTGAAGGATTATACGGAAGGTAGGTACATTTGTAAATATGGCTGACCTTATTTGTGCTTTATTTGACGAATTGTACTGAAATGACAGTGAGATGGTAATGGAAATGGATAACACTGCTGGGATTTATGAGCTGGAGGTGTCAGGTGGTCATTTATGCGCTAGAGATGAGAAGTGATGAGTGACCGAGGAGATCAGTGGTGCTCGTCACTGTTTATCTCGCCAGGTGATGATGGAAGGTAATCACCGTTCACATAAATGAAGAGGGTAATTAAGGTCAAGAATGCCACTTAATTAGACGTATTTGCTGAGGATGATTGCCATATTTTGAGTTCTGCTGATATGAACTACAGCCATCACAGTCACCCCAATGTAAACCAAGGACCCCCAATGGAAATCAAGGACCCCCCCAATAGAAACCAAGGCCCCCCAATGGAAACCAAGGCCCCCCAATGGAAACCAAGGATCCCCAGTGTAAACCAAGGACCCCCAATGTAAACCAAGGACCTCCAATATAAACCAAGGACCCCCAATGGAAACCAAGGCCCCCCAATGGAAACCAAGGCCCCCCAATGAAACCAAGGACCCCTAAATGGAAACCAAGGACCCCTAATGGAAACCAAGGACCCCCAATGAAACCAAGGACCCCCAATGGAAACCAAGGACCCCCAATGGAAACCAAGGACCCCCAATGGAGACCAAGGACCCCAGGAAAAACCAAGGACCCCAGGAAAAACCAAGGACCCCAATGGAAACCTAGAACCCCAATGGAAACCAAGAACCCCAGGGGAAACCAAGGACCCTAGTAGAAACCAAGAACCCCAATGGAAACTAAGAACCCCAATGGAAACCAAGGACCTAAGTAGAAACCAAGAACCCCAGTGGAAACCAAGGACCCCAGTGGAAACCAAAAACCCCAATGAAAATAAGTCACTTCGACTTGTTTCGGGTTCTGGGTAATTTATACTATGATTGTACTTGTGTGTACCTGGGCCTAAATAAACTTACCAATACATTCCTGCATAGCTACAGGAGATCTTTATTGTTGTTTCCAGAATGTTGCCTTCCTGCTGCTGGAGGACTCTTGATCCAATGTAATGGAACTACCTTCCTCTTGTGGATGAAACTCAGTTGCCTCTCATTCCCCAGACACTTTTATGACCCATACGGCTTTAATGCTTTCCTGTGGATGTAATAAGTGATAAGTGGAACTGGTGTGGTGATAAGTTGTATGACAGAGTTCATTACTTACATCTCTTTTACCTACAACATAATAACTAATAACAATATTACATTTGTAAATAAATACTTGTAAACTGCAACTTTTCTCCTATATTTTGGTGTTTTAAACACGGCATTTACAATACAAGATGATTCTCTGTATTCACATTTATGTACTGTCAATGTATCAGCAGTATTTATGTACTTGCCTGTGGTTTAACTGGTAATAGTTGTGGCAGTCATCACTCCCATGATCTGATCCAGTTGAGGCCTAGAGAAGTTGACCAAGAAAGAGAAAGTATAAATTTGGATGGGAAGATGTAGGGGATGACCCAGAGAGGGAGGGAGGGTATGGAGGTTTTAAGTGATGGGGGATTCAGCATCCAGCAGGTATATGTTAGAGCTTGGTGAGTGAAGACAAGTGGTTTTTAGGGTTTGAGGTGGTATTGGAGCAAAGTAATATTTAGGCAGGGATTCAGAGAAACTGGTTAGAAAGACTTAGAGTTCTAGAAGTAAGCAGCATAGTGCTTGCACTCTGAAGGATGAGTGGCAGTGTTGCAGTTTATAAGGATATTTCAATTATAATGTCTTCATACTTTGGGAAGACAGCTACTGAATGAATAAAGATGAATTTGTTTCCTTCTTTGGGTCACAGTTTTGATGGAAGATGGCTATTGTCATAAGATTTAATATAGCTGGGTCAACTACTACCATACTACTACAGTACATTAATGATCATGTATTTATCTGCAGTATTACTGTTAGTCATGTAGTATATAATTATGTAGTAGCCAGTGTTACTGACTTAGATTATATTTAGCAAATATAAATAATGCATATACTGTACTGTAGGTACATTCTTATGACTTTAAAAATACAGTGGACCCTCGGCTAATGATATTAATCCGTTCCAGAGAGCTCGTTGTTAGATGAAATTATCGTTAGCTGAATTAATTTGCCCCTAAAGAAATAATGGAAATCAAATTAATCCGTTCCTGACACCCCAAAGTATGAAAAAAAAAATTACTATATGAAATAGACATTTTCCTACACAAAAAAAGATGACATGCACAATTACTACTGTACTAAATAAAGAATACATGACACTCACCTTTATTGAAGATCTGGTGATGATTGATGGGATGGGAGGAGGGGAGATGATGGATGTTATTAATTTTTAGAAGGGGAATCCCCTTCCATGAGGACTTGAGGTAGCAAGCCCTTTTCCTGGGTTACTTCCCTTCATCTTTTAATGCCACTAGGGCCAGCTTGAGAGTCACTGGACCTCTGTCGCACAACAAATCTGTCCATAGAGCTCTGTACCTCGTGTTCCTTTAAGATTTGCCTAAATGGGCCACAACATTGTCATTGTAATAGTCACCAGCACGGCTGTGATTTTCATCCATAAAGGTTTGCAGTTCAACCCACTTTGCATACATTTCCTTAATCTTTGAAGTAGGCAACTTCTTCAATTTCTCTCTCCCCTCCTCTGAAGCAGTTTCCTCAGGTCTGGCCTCTTGTTGTTGCAGATGCTCTTGCAGCTCATCAGTGGTTAGTTGTTCTTCATCCTCCTCCACCAACTCTTCTACATCCTCCCCAGTAACCTCCAGCCCCAAGGATTTCCCCAATGCCACAATAAATTCCACAATTGGTATAGGCTTCTCAGGGTTAGCCCCAAACCCTTCAAAATCCCTCTCTCCTACACAATCTGGCCACAGTTTCCTCCAGGCAGAGTTCAAGGTCCTCTTAGTCACTCCCTCCCAAGCCTTACCTATAAGGTTTACACAACTGAGGATACTAAAGCGATCTTTCCTAAACTCTCTTAGAGTCAGTCGAGTGTCTGAGGTCACTTCAAAGCACTTTTGAAACATAGCTTTTGTGTAGAGTTTTTTGAAGTTTGAAATGACCTGCTGGTCCATGGGCTGCAGGAGAGGAGTGGTATTAGGAGGCAAAAACTTGACCTCGATGAAGCTCATGTCCCCAGAAAATCGCTCTGCCAAGTCTGAAGGATGACCAGGAGCATTGTCTAATACCAGGAGGCACTTAAGGTCCAATTTATTTTCCAGGAGGTAATTTTTCACAGTGGGGGCAAACACACGGTGAAACCAGTCATAGAAAAGGTCCCAAGTGACCCATGCCTTACTGTTTGCCCTCCACATCACACACAAATTAGCCTTGAGGACATTATTTTTCCTGAACACTGGGAGTTTCAGAGTGATGCACCAATAAAGGCTTCACTTTGCAATCACCACTAGCATTACCACACAACAAAAGAGTAAGCCTGTCTTTCATAGGATTATATCCTGGGAGTGCCTTTTCCTCCTGAGTAATGTAGGTCCTGTTTGGCATTTTCTTCCAAAACAGGCCTGTTTCATCACAATTAAACATTTGTTCAGGTTTCAATCCTTCAGCCTCTATGTATTCCTTGAATTCCTGCGCATTTATTTCAGCCGCTTTTTGGTCCGAACTGGCAGCCTCACCATGCCTTATCACACTATGTATGCCACTGTGACTCTTAAATCTTTCAAACCAACCTTTGCTGGCCTTAAATTCACTCACATCACCACTAGTTGCAGGCATTTTTTTAATTAAATCGTCATGCAACTTCCTAGCCTTTTCACATATGATCGCTTGAGAGATGCTATCTCCTGCTATCTGTTTTTCGTTTATCCACACCAATAACAGTCTCTCAACATCTTCGAATACTTGCGATCTCTTTTTTGAAAACATACTTGCACCTTTTGCAAGAACAGCTTCCTTGATTGTCTTTTTGTTGGCCAAGATAGTAGCAATGGTTGATTGGGGTTTGGTATACAACCTAGCCAGCTCTGAGACACGCACTCCACTTTTGTACTTTGCAATTATCTCTTTTTTTCAATTCCATGCTAATTCTCACCCTTTTTACCACAGGGTTGGCACTAGAAGCTTTCTTGGGGTCCATGGTGACATTTTGCAGTTACAAGCACTAAAAACACTGGGATAGTATAAAATTCTAAATGTATGCATGGATGCAACTGTACTGGCTGGCTTGTAAATACTGGCACACATGGGGCAGCTGAGGCTCGCTCAGGCCACATGTGGACGCTTACCGGACGAATCACTTTGGGCGAGTTTTTCATCGTTGGCCGGGCCAAAATTTTTACGCTCAAGCGCTTTGTTAGGCAGATTTAATGTTAGACGATGCTTTTGTTAGCTGAGGGTCCACTGTAATATATTAATGAGACAATCTGTCAACCAATGGCATAAATTATCTGCCAGTTGCAAAAGTAATCTATCTGCCAGTTAAAAATTAGTTACAGTAAATAAGAACTTGATACTATCATTGTTCTATTTCAACAGCACCTTTGTATACATCAAGTTTCTCCTGGTATGGCTGCTTGTATTGGCGGCAGATTTCCTTCTGGAGTTCCGCTTTGAATACTTGTGGCCCTTTTGGCTGCTTCTACGTAGTGTCTACGACTCTTTCCGCTACCAGGGTCTGGTAAGTATCAACTTATTATGGGCCATATTTCTCACATTTAATGGAAACTGAAGAACTTTTGGTAGTACATACTATATTACAGAGAAAGGGATCTATTGGTTATTGTTAGGTAACTCTAGATATAGTATGTGTTGAACAGTAATATCCTGTAATTGATTTTGAACTCTTCTTTAGCTAAATCCTTTCTGTAACAGCACCCTACTAGATAATGTCAATCATTTACTCTCTTTACAGGCATTTTCCGTATTGTTTGTGTGCATGGCACTAACATCGGATATGATCTGCCTTCTCTTCATCCCGGTGAATTGGCTTTTCTTTGCCGCTTCCACCTATGTCTGGGTCCAGTTTGTTTGGCACACAGGTATATTATAATTTTTCACATTATACTGTACTGTTTACTAAACAGTTTTAATTTAATACAGTATGTAGATTTAATTTCATTATACATTAGTGTATTTTTATGAAACCCAACATGTCACGTATTCAATGGACAAAATGTTGAAAAATATGTACGTACTTCATACACAGTACGTACATGAAAATATTTTTAACCATGGTTTACTTAAAACTATGGAGGTACAATTGAACTCCATAAGCTTGAATCAATTGGGTGTTTTTAAGTTTAGGGCCATCCAAGTTACCTGACTGAAAATCTAAGGAAAATTTACAGGGTAAAAAAATTCCAAGACTAAACATTACAATACAAATTGAATAAAAAATGGTACTCACCAATGTCTGTTATCTTTATCATCTTGTGAAGTACATGCACTCCATGTAAATCATTTTATGTTAGGCTGTAAACTGAAATCTGGTGTTAAATAATGAAATTCCTTTACAAATTGAATAGACTGTGCCATTATCACACAGCATCAGTTTCGTATTTTAACACTTACTAATTACATGATGCACCAAGCACCATCATGTCAGTCATGGTTGCAAAAAATGTTATGAAGCAAAATATCTGATTTGAACTTGGAAATTCCTTGAATAATGAAAGATACTTTGACATTGATACACCATGTCAAGTATACCCATTTTAATGCTCATTTTATCACACACTTGTAACTGTGTGCTTTAACCGCATGTATGTATAGTATGTAAGACTTATGGTTATATATATTACCACAATTTTGCTTGGCAATTCATGCTAATTTAATAAAATCAAATCAAATACATAAAAGCAAAAAAAATGGGTAAGAGGTAGCTGCTGGTACATTTAAGGGCTTGTGAGAAGACTTGATGCAGGACTTGTTTTCTGCCATCATTTTGAATTTTTTTGGAGTTGTTTTCAGGCTGTTGGCAGAACCACTTGCCAAGCCAAGTACAGAGTGAAAATTCCTCTGCGCTAAGTCATAATTTTCTGAGTACTATGTACTCAGAAGAATGATATACGTACTGTATATCACTTACCACATGAATTGTACATCACAGTGTAATGTACAGTTTTATGTGATAAATATATTAATCACCTCTATTAAAAGATTATGTGGCTGGTTTTGTTACTGAGCAATAAGCACTGCACTGAAAGTTGACAGTGAATGCAAACAGGCAGGAGCTTAGGAACCTCTTTCCCTATTACAGATTAAGTAAATAATTACTCCTGTAGCCTTACAGAATGTATCCCTTACCATAATCCAAGGAGGCCAATATTGTATTTAATAGGTAGCATTTCTCCATCTGTACACTGTACAATATTTTAAAACTACTGCATCTTAAAAATTGGCTGGCAGTGTATAAGATTTACTACTACATTTATGTGGTCCTCTGATAGTAATCTGTTAAAATATCTGAAAAATATCTTTCTCAGATGTTAACATTTTATCATTCATTACTATTCAATTTCAACTTGTTGACTTAGTTTTAAAATTTGTGGTTGGTTGATTTGAAACTTGATAAGATCTGCAGGTATATATTTGAAAATAGATTCAGAGATTGAACTGGTTGAGAGATTTTTCAAGTACAGTGGAACCTCAATAATCGAACTGCTCCCAACACGACCAATTATGTAAGTGTATTTTTGTAAGTGCTTTTATAAGTGTATTTTTGAGGGTCTGAAATGGACTAATCTAATTTACATTATTCCTGATGGGAATAAATTCATTCGGTAAAGGCACTCGAACAGCCTTCTGGACCGAAGAAAGTTCGATATTTGAGGTTCCACTGTACGTACTTCAAATGAATATTTTAGGTATCATTAAACAAGAGAGAATTGTCTATCATTTTTTTAACATTCTTCACTCAGTCTTACATAATGCAAACATGCACCCATTTTTGTAATATTACAGTATTGGCTCTCATCAGGAATAGCAGTGCGTATAGGATTTAACTCTGATAATCATCACTATTCTATCTAAGCAAGAAACAGGAAAGGCACTTTCTAGGTACTGTATGTGTTCATTTATGCCTTTGCATTGCAGAACGTGGTGTGTGTATGCCCACAGTAATATTGTGGGCACTCTTCATCTACATTGAGGCACTTGTGCGCCTCAAAGATATAAAAAATGTTCCCTTCCACTTAGATTTGTGCAGACCCTTTGCTGCACATTGGTAAGTACCAATACTGAATCACTAAAGACAAGTTACTCGCTTATTGTATAAATAGTTTTATAGTTATGTACTTTTCAAAATTCAAGAAATTATATAGTGTAGGCACGCCTCTGGCAAGACAGTGATGGAGTGGGTGATGGTGAAATTTTCTTTTACGGGTCACCCTGCCTCGGTGGGAAATGGTCAGTGTGTTAATAAAAAAAAATAAAAATAATCCTTAATGGGGATGTTGTGGTATGGAAGGTTGTTTGAACTGTGATGGGGGTGTACTTGTGCAAAGACAACTCGAAAATGAGTAATGTACATTTTTCCTTCCTTGGCTCAGCCTACCGAGATGGGAAATGGCCAGTGTTAAAAATGAATCTTATTAAGGTTTTCCATTGGTGTGTTTGATCCTGGTTTTATTAATATCCTAAGGATTGTTTAAATATTGTTAGCCATTGGACTTGTTGGTCAATTAACTTGTCATTGTAATTGTGAGGTAATATAAGACATGTACATACAGTGAGTGTTAGGTTTTACCCTCACTTTGCATGGATTTACAGTACTTTGTGCCAAGTTGCTTATATGCAGCAACCCTATTTCTACTAGGAATTCGCTATATGCAGTAAAAATTTGCTTTTAAGCATTTGGGGAGGGTGGTTGCTGTGCATTTTTTGCTTACTCGATTGCCCAAACCGAGTACCATTTGTTTTTTTAACTATCTCTTTAAGAAGAGGCTTTGAGTTTTAGGTGCTTGAATATCCAACCTCTGTGCATGTGTGTGTGCGCGCGTGTGCACGTGCATGTGTGTGCGTGTGCATACTGTCATTGATTTGATGATTTCCCACCTTTCCTATAATGTTGTACTGTACTTATATAGTACAGTATAAGGCTTCACTTGTTTGAGAATTAATAACTTATTGATAAAATATCTTTTTTCTCTCTCTTTTTCAGTATTGGGTATCCAGTAGTAACTTTAGGGTTCGGCTTAAAAAGTTATGTTGGGTACAGATTGAGACAGGTGAGTATGTACTTATGTTGTTCTTCATATAAAAGAATTACAAATTCTTGACTTTTTGCTGTCATCAATATAGAAGGCTCATTTTAATTGTATATTTTTTAATTGTATATAAGCAACTATTGGCAGAAAGGTGGGCTGGTGTAAGTATGAGTAGTGGGGGGTTGAAGAGGGTTGGAATAGTTTTAAAAATACAGTATTAGAATGTGGGGCAAAATTTTGTGGTTATAGGAGGGTGGGGGCAGGAGGAAAGAGGAGTGATTGGTGGAATTATGAAGTAAAGGGTGTGATAAAAGAGAAAAAGTTAGCTTATGAGAGGTTTTTACAAAACAGAAGTATTATAAGAAGAGTAGAGTATATGGAGAGTAAAAGAAAGGTGAAGAGAGTGGTGAGAGAGTGGAAAAGGAGAGCAGATGATAGAGTGGGAGAGGCACTGTCAGGAATTTTTAATGAAAATACAAAAAATTTTTTGGAGTGAGTTAAACAAGTTAAGAAAGCCTAGGGAACGAATGGATTTGTCAGTTAAAAACAGAGTAGGGGAGTTAGTAGATGGGGAGATGGAGGTATTGGGTAGATGGCAAGAATATTTTGAGGAACTTTTAAATGTCGATGAAGAAAAGGAGGTGGTAATTTCATGCGCTTGCCAGGGAAGTATACCATCTTTTAGGAGTGAAGAAGAGCAGGGGGGGAAGGTGCATGAGGCTTTACGTAGAATGAAAGGGGGTAAAGCAGCTGGAACTGATGGGATCATGACAAATGTTAATAGCAGAGGGGATATAGTATTGGAGAGGTTGGTGTTTTTGTTTAATAAATGTATGAAAGAGGGGAAGGTACCTAGGGATTGGCGGAGAGCATGTATAGTCCCTTTATATAAAGGAAAGGGGACAAAAGAGATTGTAAAAATTATAGAGGAATAAGTTTACTGAGTATACCAGGAAAAGTGTACGGTAGGGTTATTATTGAAAGAATTAGAGGTAAGACAGAATGTAGAATTGCGGATGAGCAAGGAGGTTTTATAGTGGGTAGGGGATGTGTAGATCAAGTGTTTACATTGAAGCATATATGTGAACAGTATTTAGATAAAGGTAGGGAAGTTTTTATTGCATGTATGGATTTAGAAAAAGCATATGATAGTGGATAGGAGAGCAATGTGGCAGATGTTGCAAGTATATGGAATAGGTGGTAAGTTACTAAATGCTGTAAAGAGTTTTTATGAGGATAGTGGGGCCCAGGTTAGGGTGTGTAGAAGAGAGGGAGACTACTTCCCAGTAAAAGTAGGTCTTAGACAGGGATGTGTAATGTCACCATGGTTGTTTAATATATTTATAGATGGGGTTGTAAAAGAAGTAAACGTTAGGGTGTTCGGGAGAGGGGTGGGATTAAATTATGGGGAATTAAATACAAAATGGGAAGTGACACAGTTACTTTTTGCTGATGATACTGTGCTTATGGGAGATTCTAAAGAAAAAGTGCAAAGGTTAGTGGACAAATGTGGGAGTGTGTGTAAAGGTAGAAAGTTGAAAGTGAACATAGAAAAGAGTAAGGTGATGAGGGTATCAAATGATTTAGATGAAGAAAAATTGGATATCAAATTGGGGAAGAGGAGTATGGAAGAAGTGAATGTTTTCAGGTATTTGGGAATTGATGTGTCGGCGGATGGATTTATGAAGGATGAGGTAAATCATAGAATTGATGAGGGAAAAAAGGCAAGTGGTGCATTGAGGTATATGTGGAGACAAAAAAATGTTATCTATGGATGCAAAGAAGGGAATGTATGAAAGTATAGTAGTACCAACACACTTGTATGGGTGTGAAGCTTGGGTTGTAAATGCTGCAGTGAGGAGGAGGTTGGAGGGAGTGGAGATGTCCTAAGGGCAGTGTGTGGTGTAAATATTATGCAGAAAATTCGGAGTGTGGAAATTAGGAGAACGTGTGGAATTAATAAAAGTATTAGTCAGAGGGTTGAAGAGGGGTTGTTGAGGTGGTTTGGTCATTTAGAGAGAATGGATCAAAGTAGAATGACATGGAGAGCGTATAAATTTGTAGGGGAAGGAAGGCAGGGTAGGAGTCGTCCTCTAAAAGGTTGGAAGGAAGGGGTAAAGGAGGTGTTGTGGGCGAGGGGCTTGAACTTCCAGCAAGAGTGTGTTAGCGTGTTCAATAGGAGTGAATGGAGACAAATGGTATTTGGGACCTAACAAGCTGTTGGAGTGTGAGCCGGGTAAAATTTAGTGAAGGGACTTGGGAAAACCGGTTATTTTTCTATAGCCGGACTTGAGTCCTGGAAATGGGAAGTACAATGCCTGCACTCTAAAGGAGGGGTTCAGGATATTGGCGGTTGTATTCTGGGCACCTCTGCAAAAACACTTATTATGTGTGAGTGAGGTGAAAGTGTTGAATGATGATGAAAGTATTTTCTTTTGGGGGATTTTCTTTCTTTTTGGGTCACCCTGCCTCGGTGGGAGACGGCCGACTTGTTGAAAAAAAAAAATGCATAAATCATGAAAATGCATTTGCTTTGCCTGAGGGTAAGTAAAAGCAATCTCAGGAGTAAGATGCCAGGCATCTTTTATCATAGCCTGAGCATTAGCGCACTCAGCTCACACACCGAGGTCCAGGGTTTGAATCTCCTCTGGTGTGGCTGGAAAAAATTAGGGACATGTTTCCATAAGACACCTGCTGTCCCTGTTCACCCATCAGTGTAAAATGAGTACCTGGGTGTTAGTTGACTGGTGAGAGTCGCATCCTGGGACAAAACTGACCTAATTTGCCCGAAATGCTTAGCATAACAAGGGGCTTTCTATATGGTAGTATGTGATTGATGTCAGTTGGGCCTGTATACCTTGTACCATACATGTACAGTGGACCCCCGCATAACGATTACCTCCGAATGCGACCAATTATGTAAGTGTCATGTAAGTGTATTTATGTAAGTGCATTTGTACGTGTATGTTTGGGGGTCTGAAATGGACTAATCTATTTCACAATATTTCTTATGGGAACAAATTCGGTCAGTACTGGCACCTGAACATACTTCTGGAGTGAAAAAATATCGTTAACCGGGGGTCCACTGTACTTGTAGTAAATAAAAACATTATTATATTATTATTATATTGTTCTAGAGAGCTTCATCAGTATACAGTATAGTATTTATGTATATACTATAGTACATATATGTATGTCTGGTTAGTCAGATATGATTTCTGGAGTTAGAAAATGCAGCACAGCGCCTGCACTGTACAGGATGAGTAGTGATGTTACAGTTCTGGAGGTGCTCCTACCCTTACACACCCCAACCCACAGTGCTATATGGGTTTAATACTTGTTTTGATTAAAATATTCAAGTTTATGAGGTGAGAGATCCTGCACTTTGAAGGATGGGTTTACCTGGAGTTTACCTGGATAGGGTTTTGGGGGTCAACACCCCCACGGCTTGGTCTGAGACCAGGCCTCATGGTGGATCAGGGTCTGATCAACCAGGCTGTTACTGATGACTGCACGCAAACTGACATTCGAACCACAGCCCGGTTGATCAGGTACTGACTTTAGGTGCCTGTCCAGTGCCTTCTTGACAGCCAGGGGTCTATTGGTAATCCCTCTTTTGTATGCTGGGAGACCGTTGAACAGTCTTGGACCCCGGACACTTATTGTGTTCTCTCTCAATGTACTCATGGCATCCCTGCTTTTCATCGCGGGGAATGTTACATCTCCTGCCGAGTCTTTTGCTTTCATAGGGAGTGATTTTTGTGTGCAGGTTTGGTACCAATCCCCCCAGGACCTTCCAAGTGTATATTGTCATGTATCTCTCGTCTGCATTCCAGGGAATACAGATTGAGGATCTTCAACCGTTCCCAGTAATTTTGGTGCCTTATCGTACCTTTGTACACTCTCCAGGTCTGCAATGTCTTCAGCCTTGAAGGGGGCCGTTAGTGTACAGCAGTATTCCAGCCTAGAGAGAACAAGCAATTTGAAGAGTATCATCATGGGCTTGGTGTGTCTAGTTTTGAAGGTTCTCATTATCCATCCTATCACTTTCCTAGCAGATGAGGTAGATACATTGTTGTGGTCTTTGAAGGCTAGATCCTGTGACATTATCACTCCTAGGTCCTTCACATTTCTTTTTTGCTCTATTGTGTAATTAGAATTTGTCGTATACTCTGTTACATTTTTAATTTCCTCAAGTTTTCCATATCTGAGTAGTTGAAATTTCTCCTCATTGAACTTCATATTGTTTTGAGTGGCCTATTTGAAGATTTGGTTGATGTCCGCTTGGAGTCTTGCAGTGTCTTCGATGGAGGTCACTGCCATGGCAATCCAGGTGTCATCTGCAAAGGAAGACACAGAGCTATGGCTTACATCTCTGTCTATGTCCAAAATTAGGATAAGGAATAGAATGGGAACAGAGCTTTTCACCGTGGCTGCCTGGGACTTTACTCTGCTTACTATTACTCTTTGTGCTCTATTTGTGAGGAAGGTATAAATCCATCTGCCAACTTTTTCTGTTATTCCTTTATCACACATTTTGTGTGCTATTACACCATGATCACACATGGCAAAAGCTTTTGCAAAGTCTGTGTATACTACATCTGTATTTTGTTTATCTTCAACAGCATCCAGGACCTTGTCATAGTGGTCCAGTAGCTGGGACAGGCAGGAGCGACCTGCTCTAAACCCATGTTGCCCTAGTTTGTGTGATTGATGGGTATCTAGGTGATTAGCGATCTTGCTTCTTAGAACCCTCTCAAAGATTTTTATGATATGGGATGTTAGTGCTATCGGCCTGTAGTTCTTTACAGTTGCTTTACTGCCACCTTTGTGGAGTGGGGCTATGTCTGTGTCCATGCTCCCTCTCCATAGAATGCTGAAGGCACGCGATAGGGGCTTCTTGCAATTCTTGATGAACATGGAGTTCCATGAATCTGGGCCTGGGGCAGAGTGCATAGGCATGTCATTTATTGTCTTTTCAAAGTCTTGTGGAGTTAGGATAATATTTGAGATTTTTGAGATGACCAAATTTTGGGTTTCGTTCATAAAGAATTCATTTGGATTGTCGACCCTTACTCTGGGCAGTGGCTCGCTGAACACTGAGTCATATTGGGACTTGAATATCTCACTCATTTCTTGGCTGTCATATGTGTATGTCCCATCCTGCCTAAGCAGGGGCCCAATACTGGAGGTTGTTTTTTCCTTAGATTTGACATAAGAGAAGAAGTATTTTGGGTTTTTTCAGTTTCATTTATGGTTCTAGTTCTTCCTGTGATTTTTGTCTCCTGTAAGATTCCTTCAGCTTAAGTTCGATATTTGCAATTTTATTGACCAGTGCCTCCCTTTGTATTTCAGATATATTGGCCCCTCTTGGCAGCTCTGTGACTCTTTGCCTTCATCTGTATAGGGAGTGTCTCTCTCTTTCTAGTTTACATCTTCTCTTTTTTTTTTTTTCTTAATGGAATGTGTCTTGAGCAGATCTCAAGAACCACAGAGTTCGTTTTTTTCTAGGCAAATGTTTGGATCCATGTTGTTTAGGATATCTTCCCAGCTTGTTTCATTTAGGACATGGTTGACTTGATCCCATTGTAGGGATGGAATCCTTTGAATTTTGATGTTTGTACACTTCTGGAAAGATGGCTAGAGAATGAGTGATGGTAATTGTGTTTACGTAGGTTCATCCCTCCTTGGTGGTAAATGACTGACATGACAAAAAAAATGTAATGAAGTTTTCTTGAATAAAAATGTCATGAAAACTGACAAAAGATAAAATAAAGGTTAGGCTGAAAAATGAAGTGCTGGTAAAAAGAGGGAATATTTTTTTCATGTAAGTCAAAGTTCCTTCTTAGTAGATAAGTGTACATCTTATAGGAAAAGGTATGTTAAGAAATACATGTGACTGGTGGAGATGAGTGAAGAAGTTAGATGTGGCGAGAAATGGCCTGAATTGGCCTTATGTGAACTTATCCTTAATAGTGGTTGTGTGTCAAGAGCATGTCCTGGAATGTAGTATTTTGTAGCATATATAGTAATAGTATCTGATTTCCATAGTTCTGATTACCATTCACAGGTAGCTCATTCTTTAGGGAAGACACTTCAGACAATATATTGGTCCTTCCTGGACCTTAATAAAGTCAATTGATGGATGGAAATTGGGTTTAGAACAGGTGAATGTGGTTCAGTCATTTTTTTCCCTATCAGGTTACAGTACTTGCTTTTAAAATATTGTAGTGGGTTATACATGAAGGGGAAAATTATTCAAACAGAATGCTTGAGGAGGTTAGCTTAAAAAAAAAATCTTTTTCAGAGAAAGCAGCGTGAAGTTGCTAAAGAAAATGAATTTTATTTGCAACTGCTTCAAGAGGCATTGCCACCCGAGTTGCAAGTCACATCTAGTCCTGATAAATGTAAGTGTACTGATTACTTGTGTACCAGTCAGTGATGACAGGGTTCAGTCGTAGTGGTGCATGCAAGCCATTAACGGCACTATAAATGTTAACTCTAGTACTGTATGTTTTACTCAACGTTGTGTATTCATTTTTTTAGACTATGTTAGTCTTGTTTATATTTTTTTTCCCTGATGCCATATGAATCCATCTCAACACTTGCCCTTCCTTGGATTGAACCTAATTGCTTCCCATTTCCCCAAGCACTGTATGACTCCTTCAGGTTTAGTGCTACCCCCATGAATAATAATAATTTTTGGTACTGTGTATATGTTAGAGAGATGGAGAGAATATTTTATAAATACTGTAGTTAAATGTTATCATGAAAATGCAGGCATAAATTTCATGTTTAGAACAAGGGAATAATAGCTATTAGAATGAATGAAGAAGCATAGGTGAGAATGAAGAAAGTGTATCAGAGTTGTGAAATATCAACAGGGATAGATAAGCTTAAGACTGAAATTAGGTGAAAGTAATGTCTTGGAATGGTTGATGCATTTGTTCAGTGTGTGTGTGCGTGCACTTCATAATCTGTGTGATTTGATGATGACAGAGTTTTTATAGAAGGCCTTATAGCAGATAATTTTGATTATTCACATTTTTCTTGGTTTCCATTGTACTTTTGCTTAGTACTGTGCACTAAGCACCATGCTCATTCTGTTTTATGATTGTCAGTAATAAGCAGACTTAAGCACTGTATGGAGATATATGGCCAAATATGTGTCCTGGACATGGGAAGTACAGTATAGTACAGTGACTACATTGAAGGAGGAGTTGGATGTTAGAGTTTGGAATATTATTTGTATTGTGTTGCCTGCACTCCTCTAGCAAGACAGCTACCATATTGAATAAATGATGATGAATGTTTCCTGTTTGAGGGTTGTCCTTTCAGGGTGAGAGATGGTTCATGTGGTTAAAATTTTTTTTTTGTTTTTTGTGTAAATAATTCAGACTTCCTGCCTCGGTGGGATACGGCCGGTGTGTTGAAAGAAAGAAAGAACTCAGACTTGCAAAATTTCCTCTTATCTGTAGCTTCAGGATTCATGTCACCTCCAGGAACCCAGTCCCACACATTATCAGGCTTAATTGTAATAATGAAGGGCAGTAGGCCTCATTTAACACTGTTCCTGAAAACACCGTGCTAGGTAAAACCGTGTTATATGAACTGAAGAACTTATGGGAAAAATAGGGTTACGTTCCTGACAGCCCCAAACAAGCCAAACAACTTTTTTTAGGCCTCCACCTCTTACAAAAATTAAAGTGAATATGTAATTGTAGTTCATTGGTCTTGGCAAGAGGCGTGGAGGTAAAAGATAAAGAATCACACATAGAGTGGGAGTTGTCACAGTTGCTCTTTGCTGATGACACTGTGCTCTTGGGAGATTCTGAAGAGAAGTTGCAGAGATTGGTGGATGAATTTGGTAGGGTGTGCAAAAGAAGAAAGTTAAAAGTGAATACAGGAAAGAGTAAGGTTATGAGGATAACAAAAAGATTAGGTGATGAAAGATTGGATATCAGATTGGAGGGAGAGAGTATGGAGGAGGTGAATTATTTTTTATTATCACACTGGCCGATTCCCACCAAGGCAGGGTGGCCCGAAAAAGAAAAACTTTCACCATCATTCACTCCATCACTGTCTTGCCAGAAGGGTGCTTTACACTACAGTTTTTAAACTGCAACATTAACACCCCTCCTTCAGAGTGCAGGCACTGTACTTCCCATCTCCAGGACTCAAGTCCGGCCTGCCGGTTTCCCTGAACCCCTTCATAAATGTTACTTTGCTCACACTCCAACAGCACGTCAAGTATTAAAAACCATTTGTCTCCATTCACTCCTATCAAACACGCTCATGCATACCTGCTGGAAGTCCAAGCCCCTCGCACACAAAACCTCCTTTACCCCCTCTCTCCAACCTTTCCTAGGCTGACCCCTACCCCGCCTTCCTTCCACTACAGACTGATACACTCTTGAAGTCATTCTGTTTCGCTCCATTCTCTCTACATGTCCGAACCACCTCAACAACCCTTCCTCAGCCCTCTGGACAACAGTTTTGGTAATCCCGCACCTCCTCCTAACTTCCAAACTACGAATTCTCTGCATTATATTCACATGACATCTCCACTGCCTCCAGCCTTCTCCTCGCTGCAACATTCATCACCCATGCTTCACACCCATATAAGAGCGTTGGTAAAACTATACTCTCATACATTCCCCTCTTTGCCTCCAAGGACAAAGTTCTTTGTCTCCACAGACTCCTAAGTGCACCACTCACTCTTTTTCCCTCATCAATTCTATGATTCACCTCATCTTTCATAGACCCATCCGCTGACACGTCCACTCCCAAATATCTGAATACATTCACCTCCTCCATACTCTCTCCCTCCAATCTGATATTCAATCTTTCATCACCTAATCTTTTTGTTATCCTCATAACCTTACTCTTTCCTGTATTCACCTTTAATTTTCTTCTTTTGCAAACCCTACCAAATTCATCCACCAATCTCTGCAACTTCTCTTCAGAATCTCCCAAGAGCACAGTGTCATCAGCAAAGAGCAGCTGTGACAACTCCCACTTTGTGTGTGATTCTTTATCTTTTAACTCCACGCCTCTTGTCAAGACCCTCGCATTTACTTCTCTTACAACCCCATCTATAAATATATTAAACAACCACGGTGACATCACACATCCTTGTCTAAGGCCTACTTTTACTGGGAAATAATTTCCCTCTTTCCTACATACTCTAACTTGAGCCTCACTATCCTCGTAAAAACTCTTCACTGCTTTCAGTAACCTACCTCCTACACCATACACTTGCAACATCTGCCACATTGCCCCCCTATTCACCCTGTCATACGCCTTTTCCAAATCCATAAATGCCACAAAGACCTCATTAGCCTTATCTAAATACTGTTCACTTATATGTTTCACTGTAAACACCTGGTCCACACACCCCCTACCTTTCCTAAAGCCTCCTTGTTCATCTGCTATCCTATTCTCCGTCTTACTCTTAATTCTTTCAATAATAACTCTACCATACACTTTACCAGGTATACTCAGCAGACTTCTTTCTTTCTTTCAACACACCGGCCGTATCCCACCGAGGCGGGGTGGCCCAAAAGAAAAAACGAAAGTTTCTCCTTTTACATTTAGTAATATATACAGGAGAAGGGGTTACTAGCCCCTTGCTTCACTCAGCAGACTTCTCCCCCTATAATTTTTGCACTCTCTTTTATCCCCTTTGCCTTTATACAAAGGAACTATGCATGCTCTCTGCCAATCCCTAGGTACCTTACCCTCTTCCATACATTTATTAAATAATTGCACCAACCACTCCAAAACTATATCCCCACCTGCTTTTAACATTTCTATCTTTATCCCATCAATCCCGGCTGCCTTACCCCCTTTCATTTTACCTACTGCCTCACGAACTTCCCCCACACTCACAACTGGCTCTTCCTCACTCCTACAAGATGTTATTCCTCCTTGCCCTATACACGAAATCACAGCTTCCCTATCTTCATCAACATTTAACAATTCCTCAAAATATTCCCTCCATCTTCCCAATACCTCTAACTCTCCATTTAATAACTCTCCTCTCCTATTTTTAACTGACAAATCCATTTGTTCTCTAGGCTTTCTTAACTTGTTAATCTGACTCCAAAACTTTTTCTTATTTTCAACAAAATTTGTTGATAACATCTCACCCACTCTCTCATTTGCTCTCTTTTTACATTGCTTCACCACTCTCTTAACCTCTCTCTTTTTCTCCATATACTCTTCCCTCCTTGCATCACTTCTACTTTGTAAAAACTTCTCATATGCTAACTTTTTCTCCCTTACTACTCTCTTTACATCATCATTCCACCAATCGCTCCTCTTCCCTCCCGCACCCACTTTCCTGTAACCACAAACTTCTGCTGGAGGTGAATGTATTCAGATATTTGGGAGTGGACGTGTCAGCGGATGGGTCTATGAAAGATGAGGTGAAACATAGAATTGATGAGGGGAAAAGGGTGAGTGGTGCACTTAGGAGTCTGTGGAGACAAAGAACTTTGTCCTTGGAGGCAAAGAGGGGAATGTATGAGAGTATAGTTTTACCAACGCTCTTATATGGGTGTGAAGCATGGGTGATGAATGTTGCAGCGAGGAGAAGGCTGGAGGCAGTGGAGATGTCATGTTCTGAGAGCAATGTGTGGTGTGAATATAATGCAGAGAATTCGTAGTTTGGAAGTTAGGAGGAAGGTGCGGGATTACCGAATAACTGTTGGTCCGAAGAGGTGAAGATAGGGTTGTTGAGGTGGTTGGGGACTTAATGAGAGAAGAACTTGCTGAGAAAAGGGAAAGTATGAGTTGTCTGTAGTGGAAGGAAGGAGGGTAGGGGTGGTAGAAATGTGGAGGGGAGGGGATAAGGAGGTTTTGTGTGCGAAGGTTGGTTAGCGGCATGCGTGAGTGATTGTAAGTTGGAAGTGGAGGAAATTGGTTCTAAAACCCTTGTGTCTCAAGCGTATATGTATGGGTTGGGTGGTTGCGGATTAGGAATATAAAATTTAGCGGGAAGAGTACAGTCTGCTGCACTTGAAGGAGGGGTGTTAAGTTGCAGTTTAAAAGTTGTAGGTAGATAAAGAGCTCTCCTTCTGCAAGGACAGTGTTTGGAGTGAATGGTGAGTGAATGTTTATGTTTTACGGGCCACCCTTGCCTTGGTGGGAGAATCGGCCGGCTGTGATAATAATAAAAATTCTAGCGGTTTCAAATCAAGCAGAGAAACTAGTTTGTAGGCCACATGTGAGAGAATGGGTCTGTGTGGGTCAGTGTGCACCATATAAAAAAAATCCTGGAGCACGCAGTGCATAATGAGAAAAAAAAAACTCCGACCATTTTTTTTAATTAAAATGCCGAATTTGTGGTCTATTTTCGTATAGTATTTATGGTTGTATTCTCGTTTTCTTGGTCTCATTTGATAGAATGGAAAACATATTATAGAAATAGAGGTGATTTTGATTGATTTTACTATAAAATGAACCTAGAAATGGAGCTCAAAGTAGGGGAAATGTTTGATTTTTGCCAGTGTTCAAAAGTAAACAAATGATGCCATTGTCCAATAAATGTCCAACTAGCCATTCTAATATGCAGTCATGAATGGGTTGATGTTATTTATACAATTATTACAGTATTGCAGTAGTCTGCATAATAGTAAGTCTTCTATTTTTTGTTTGAATAAAAATTCAAAATAGAAAGCAAGAGTAATATCAGAGGGGCCTGGAGACATGACTGATGAGCAAAAAAAATGTTATTTTAGAGCCAGGAATGTCTGCATTGTTCATTCTGGACCGTATTTTGAAATTGTCATATTTTTTAGTTTTCGTGAAATTGGCCAAATTGCAAATTTCTGACCACATTATTAGGTAGTTGAAATCGGCAAATGGGCAGTTTCTTGTACTCAATCGATAGAAAAAATGGAGTTCTAAAGAAATAGCTATGAGTTTGGGCGACTGGAACAATGGAATTAGCCGAAAATAGGGCTCATAGTGGGCAAAATTGCCGATTTGTAAATAGCGCCGAGGTCGCTAACTTCGCGAGAGCATAATTCCGTCAGTTTTCCATCAAATTTCGTTTTTTTTGGTGTCATTACAATCGGGAAAAGATTCTCTATCATTTCATGAGAAAAAATAATTTTTTTTTTTTAAATTTTGCGACACCAGGAGACACCTCAGGATTGGGGGTTGCGACAGTCAAAGGGTTAATACTTGACGTGCTGTTGGAGTGTGAGCAGGGTAACATTTATGAAGGGGTTCAGGGAAACCGGCAGGCCGGACTTGAGTCCTGGAGATGGGAAGTACAGTGCCTGCACTCTGAAGGAGGGGTGTTAATGTTGCAGTTTAAAAACTGTAGTGTAGAGCACCCTTCTGGCAAGACAGTGATGGAGTGAATGATGGTGAAAGTTTTTCTTTTTCGGGCCACCCTGCCTTGGTGGGAATCGGCCAGTGTGATGATAAAAAAAAAAATAGTTCATTGTTGTGATGTATTATGTTGTTTTCATTGCTTAAGACTACAAATGTAACAGAAATAATAGTATTTCTTACCTTAAATTGTGGGTGCTAGTGTTTGTGGATGATTGTGAAGAGAGTGGAGAGTTATGTTGTGGTCCTACTGGGCTGAGGTGGATGGTAGAGGTTCTGGTACTGAAGTTGATGGTTGTAGTGGAGTGTCTAACTTCGTCATTCAGTCAAGTCATTCAGTCAGTCAAGTAAGTCAGTCAGTCAAGTCATTCAGTAAGTCAGTCAAGTCATTCAGTAAGTCAAGTCATTCAGTCAGTCCAGTCAGTAAGTCAAGTAAGTTATTCAATCAAGTCAGTAAGCTATTCATTCAAGTCAGTAAGTCAATCAGTCAGTTACACAAACTTATGTTTACCTCTTTTTGTGTGTACAAAGTAACACTTCATTACGCCACAGGTTATCTCTTGTCTAATATCTTTGTTTTCATTGTTAATTCTAAGACTTAAATGTTTATACCTTTTCTTGCCACTTTCAGCAACACTGGTATGCCTACTGGGTGTCATGGTGGCTTGGCAGATACAACATATAGTAATTAAAAGATCAAAACACAATTCACAAACACAGCTAGCCTGTAGCAGAAAAGAAAGACTGGACGCGTATGAAATATGAATGCTGGGATGGTGGGGGTGGTGTCGGGGGTTGGCAGAGAATGGCGGGAGGCCTTCCCCTCTGATCCACAACAAGGCGGCTGCTTGATGAAAAGGGATTTTTTTTTTCCTTTCCGCAAACTAAACTGTGTTAAATTAATTTTACGACGTGTAACATAAAATTGTGCCGCAATTCTTCAATCATGCTATTCCCTAATCGTGCCAAATAAGCTCATGCTAAATGATGGTCTACTGTATTATCTTTTTTTCAGTTACTTGTAGTACCTCCACAGCTTGATTACAAGTCATATTTCTCACACTTGCATCACTAATCATTAGGTATTCTGAGGTTTTTAATAAATGTAGTAACTTAAATAGATGACAGTGTTTCGTCTTGTTCTTTCACAGGTGTCAAGGAGAAAAGTGAGGAAGTCAGTATCAGCGGTGAGGTGGAGGTCACTTCTGCCACCATCAACCACACGGGTAAGAATTAATTCTTCAGTTATATTTCAGTTATGTTTGTATCTGTGCAACTTACAATGATGTTGAACATTATTTGAAATTGGTAATTGATCTTGTATGTCTCTGGAAGTATAAGATATTAAGATAATTTGAAATTAGTCTCTTAACTTTTAAGTTTGCAACTAATTTACAAATGTTTAGACATTTTGGTCCTTCTTAGACCATTATGAAGTCATGACTTGATAATTGTCCAAGATGTACCAAATTATATGCTAAGATTTATCTCCAGTTTGTGGGATACTTGTGAATTATTCCAGCCATTGTATATAAAATATTAATGCCTTTGTGAAAGATTTTTTTATATTTTTTAATATAAAAACTATTGTATTTCTTTAAGTTTACAGTGTAACAGGTTTATTAAGTTGTACATAAGTGATTGTGATCTACAAAGCTAACTGTAATTTGCACTCCTTTGTATTTTTTAACATAATACACATCAGAAATATAGTTTTTATCACCAGCCTTCAGAGATGTGTTTTTCCTCCTAAAACTTTTTCTTTTTTTCCCCAACAGGAGGGAGCTGCAATCTTAGTAGCAGTTGTAGTAGTAGCAGTAGCAGTAGCAGCAGTAGCAGTAGTAGTAGTAGCAGTAGCAGCAGCAGTAGTAGTAGCAGCAGTAGTAGTGGAGGTGGAAGTGGTGGGGGAGGGGGAGGGGGTGGTGGGGGTGGTTGTGTTGGTAGCAGTGGGAGCAGCAGAGGTAGTAGAGGACTGAGGGTTGATACAAAGCTGCCTGAACAAAACCAGCCTGGTGAGGATAGTCCCCCACCACCTATACACCGACCAGACAAAAATCGCCTTCCTAATGGCACCATTCATGCAGAGCTTGAATATATGCAGAAAAAAGGGTATGTATAGGTTTATTATTTTCTCCAATAATTTAAACATTTATAGGAGCTAGATTATATGAAATTAATTTAAAGTTGATTCAAATTACTTTCTTATTTTATGTTTTGCAGTTTATTTGGATTCAGGTAGTTACATTCCTGTCTAAATTAACCTTTTATATCTGTATGAAAGGGAGCAAGAGGCTAGTAAGCCCTTCTCCTGTATACATTGCTGAAGTTAAAAAGAGAAACTTTTGTTTTTCATTTTGGGCCACCCTGCTTCGGTGGGATACAGCCGGTTTGTTGAAAGAAGAAGAAGAAGAAAGATCTGTATGAAAGATAAAATGAAACAGAGGTGTCCTCTCACTATTGTACAGTACTGTACTTCTCAGATAAGGCTCAGTGAACTGTGTTTTTTTTTTTTGTTTTATAATTTATATAACTTTTTTTTTATTTTTAATTTCCTAATTCTACCTTTGAATGGCTAGGTGGTCAAATTCAAAATCTGTGAATGACTATGATGAGAGTGAAGCAGAGAAAGACAAGAGTGCAAAAACTAACTCTGGAGGAAGCACCCCGTGTGGTGGTGGTTCTACTCAAACTTCTGGGCTCAGTGCAAGTTTAGAAACTGAAAAGAAGCGTGTTAATGCTTCAATACAGGTAAGGTTATGCTGTGTTTATACAAACTTAGCAATTATTACACTCCCAATACTGCTTTACTTACACAGATAGGTAATTATGATTTTTTTAATTCATCAACCATCTTTCACCAAAGCAGGGTGACCCAAAGAAAAAAAAGTTCATCAACATTCACTCAATCACCATATTTGAAGTGTGCTGATATCACAGTCAGATTACCCTCCATCTGTAATATCCCCACTCCTTTTTCATATCCTCCTGAAAGGGGAATCTGAAAAAGGGGTGATTTCCCATGAATCCCTCTATGAAAGTTACCCTGTTTACACACTAGCAGCATATTCATTAAAAAACTACTCATCACCATTCACTCCTAACACACTGAATGCTCAAGCCACTAAACTCAAAGCATCTTGGACCCCCTCCCTTATGCTATTCTTGAGATGACCCTCTTACGTTCCACCCTAGATTTATATACCCTCTTCAACCTATTCCTCTCCATTCTCTACATTCCTAAACCACCTCAAAAACCCCTCCTCATCCCTCTTGAATTATACTCTAGGTCACCCCACGTCACTTTTTAATTTCTACTTTCCTAATTCTCTGCATGATATTTCCACCTTACATTTCTCTCAGACATGACATCCCCATTTCTCTAGCCTCCTTTTTTACTTCATCATTCAAAACCCATGCCTTGCACCCAAATAAAAGTGATGATACCACTATAGTGTGGTACATTCTCCCCTCCCCCCCCCCTTTTTTTTCCCCTCCATAGATGGTATGTGACTGAAGCAGCATCCCTCTAGAGGAAGGGCTGATGTCTGGTTAGTATATTCACATGTTAATAAATGTCACAGTCCCCTACTAACCAACAGAACAGATATGAAACTTATACCTGTACAGTGTTTTGGATCATTATCAGGTCTTTATTTTCTCTGGTGATTTACTTATTTATAAATATAACTTGTGTCTTAATGTTAATATTTGCAGAGTAACGGGTCAGCCAAGATTCCAGGATCTCATACAAACAACCTAAGAGATTCTGGTTCAGGAGGTGGAGGACCTGCTTCCCGAGATAAGAAAAACAAAAATAAAGAAAGCAACAAAGACAGTACTCATGGGCCCAAGGAAGAGACTGTCAGCATTATTCGGTAATTTTTGCTCCTGTGTTGTTGATGTTAAGTTATGTGCCAAAATTAAAATAGTGTGAAGGCCACAGTTTCTCCTTAGTTGTATACTAGAAATACAAGTACTATTATATTAGATGGGGATTATATTAGAGCAGCTCATTTTTAGTCCCAATCATTGTGGTTAGCTTTGCGGCTTAGCGAATTTAATTATTAATTTTGTTTATTGGAACCTTTACTCTGCATATGCTCATTCATTTCCTTATAAATGCAGTATATTTTGGTAGATAACAGTGGTCCTTTCTCTTACCCCAGGTCCACAGAGTATAAGATAACTATGAGCATAATAAATTTAAATGATGAAGCAGTTATAGATAATTATATGTATCTGTTACAGTAAAAATAAAGTCAAACATGTTGCTCTGTTTTGGTGGTAATGGGAATGACTGCCTTAAGGCAATACTTAATACATTTCATGACAGGAGATTAACACTTGACCACTGACACTGTACTCATGTTCATGCTGTCATTTTATTTCTTTTAAAGCTAATGTTACAATAGCAGTTATTAAACCATTGAGATTTTTATTTTAAGTGTAGGGAGGAGGATGAGAAACATTGATGGGAAGAGGAATGAAAAAGGGAGGAAGGTTGATGTAAAAGAGGAGGAACCTTCTAAATATCTGGACTTGATGTGATAAAGAGGGCAGTCATACATTGCTACTGGTTCTAGATAGTATCCAGATAATGTACAAATGTGGGAGAGAGTTAGATCACTAAGCATCAGGTAGTAAAGATTGATTGAAGGGGGAGAGGGTGCATGCTCTTCACATTTAGCCATCTGTTCTTAAAATTATCTTATACTGTTAAGTTTCTTTCGCATGTCATTTGTCTGTGTTAGCCACAGATGCACATTCATCATCTGGTTAAGGTTATTAGCAGTCCTCTTCTACATATTTTAGCTCTAATGTGCCTAGTTTCTGTTACTGACTAGAACTGAGTTGGATGGATGAATCAGGGTATAGTCCTAGCTACTGGATAGACAGACATCCTCGTCTATTTGGGTTTTGTATTTGTTGTTGCTTTACCTTATTTATTAGGAATATGCTTAAGAGAGAAATTTACAAAAGGTATCCTAGTTGTTTTATTTTGTGATCTTAGATAACATATTACAGACAGTTGACAAAAAATATACATGGTTCAACTCTTTGTTTTTTCAGAATAAAAGTACTAGGTGCGTGGTATGTTGAAAATATGTTAATAGGAAAATATTTTTTAGAGAGATGCAATGTAGAAAAAAATATTGAAAATATAAATGGGTAGTGTGAAAAAGCATTTTAAAAACTAAATTTTATTGCAGTGAATGTTCATTGTATATAAATGTATTCCAAGAAATATTAATATCTATAAAAGTAATGCTTTTTCTTATGCCAAGGCTTTTGTACTCATTGTATTATTGTGATGTACTAAGTGCTTAAGGCAATAATGCTCTTCCTTAGGCTTGAAGCTGATATAAAGAGGTTGAAGGCAGACCTGCAAGCATCACGGCAAACTGAGCAGGAGCTTCGCAATCAGATTAATACACTCATCTCTAGCGATAAAATCACGAGGCAGGAGATGAACCAGCTTCAGCAAGACAATGACAACTTGCAAAATAAGTAAGTTACATGAATTGCTTTTTGCTGTTTTCTTTATAAATTCATTCTATCTTTTCTGCTGTTTCCACCCAGATAAGGTGACTGAAAAAGTAAATTCAGTATTCAAAATTATTCAACCTGCTTCACTTTCAGAGTGGAGGCACTGTACTTCCCTACTCCAAAAATAATTTCAAATTTTCTTGCTGATTTTCCTGTATTTATCATATACATGTATTACTTTTCTTACTCTCCAACAGTATATTGGATATCATTGAATATTACATTCCTCATTTTCTAGCATAATGTCGGATTCCATTAGACATTAGCTAGGATTCTCTCTAAGAGTATATCAAATCTCATAGAACACTTGCCTCTACTCATTTTGTTCAAACATCTTCACACATCTGCAGAATGCCCATACTCTCAACACCTGTTTTTACACCCTCCCCCTAAATTACTCCTTATATACTACCTTTACCATTAACTACCCACCATGTTGTGTCTGTGCCACTAGTTGTAGATAATGTTATAGCCTCAGTTGAGGTAGTATTGGTGGTGGTGGAGTTAATGGAGGGGAATTTGAATTGAACCAATACCTTTGATAGGCGCATGCCTGATTGAAAGCATAAACAATCAGTGGAGTTCATTGTAACTTAGAAGGGCAGTCTCCACCTCTCTCTAACCTCTTCATTCCATCCCTGGATCTATTCTATTCACCATTCTATTCTATTCTAATAATCTGTCCATCACAGAAATTACTGTTTCTTTCTTTCTTTCAACACACCGGCCGTGTCCCACCGAGGCGGAGTGGCCCCAAAGGAAAAACTAAAGTTTCTCCTTTTACATTTAGTAATATATACAGGAGAAGGGGTTACTAGCCCCTTGCTCCTGGCATTTTAGTCGCCTCTTACAACACGCATGGCTTACGAAGGAAGAATTCTGTTCCACTTCCCCATGGAGGAAATTACTGGTTCATCAGACTTTAATTTGTTAAGGTTTAGCATTCTGAGTCCATTTGGTATTAGGACCTTCATCTTGAATTTATTTGACCTCAGTCATCAGCATCTCTTTAATTTGGTTAATAGAGAACACTTTTTCATGTGATTTAAGCAATTCTTTCACTTACTTTAAAAAACCTACCCCTCCAAACTGATGACCCAACCTCGTAATCCTCACCACCACCTTTTTTAATGTTGGGAAAAATTACTTAAGGTATTCACTGCTTCTTCCACAACCTCTTTTAACAGGCATTGATGGTCCACTCTCTGACCTCGTCCAATACCTTCCTCATGTTTTCAATAATGTGTGTATACAGGAGGGCCCCTCATATACATTTGCCTCTTTTTGATGTTCCACATTTACTTTCAATTGAGTCATTGTTAGACACATGTGCAACGCTTGGGTATCTTTATTGAGGAAACGTTTCGCCACACAGTGGCGAAAACGAAAACGAAACGAAGCCACTGTGTGGCGAAACGTTTCCTCAATAAAGATACCCAAGCGTTGCACATGTGTCTAATTAATCTACATGTCGGTTCTCTGAACCATTGATCTACGAGTCATTGTTCATTACGTTTGGTGCTTTTACCGCTTTTCTGCCGTTATCTTTGTTTTCATACAACAGTCACGTAAGGAAAGGATGATCAGCGCCTTATTTAAAGGTACAAGTATTCTATGTGCTGTGTATTTATTTTAATTTTTTTATCTTTTTGTATGACTGGTTGTATGAAGCACTTAATATATGATAGTGGAAACACATCAGGTGTTTTAGACACATTTAATAATGAAAAACAGCTCTTTTCCACCCACCATTGATTCTCACTTATTGTTTGGGGTCACGAACCCTTTGAGCCATACGAAAGGGGACCACCTGTACCTTTTAAAAGCAGCAGTAGCCCATTTGTCTATGATCTATAGTAATACAGTGGTCTGGGGAGGCAGGCAGGATGTCTAATTTAATGTGTGTGTGTACAATTCATATTACAGTTCTCTATTTTTTTTTTCTTTCAACAAGTTGGCCGTCTCTCACCGAGGCAGGGTGACCCATAAAGAAAGAAAATCCCCATAAAGAAAATACTTTCATCTTCATTCAACACTTTCACCTCACTCATACATAATCACTGTCTTTGCAGAGGCACCCAGATACAACAGTTTAGAAGCATATACAGGTCTTCCTCAACATTTGTGAGGGTTGGGGGATCAAGAGCCTTGTGAATGTTGAAAAATCGCAACTGTTTGGTGCCCCAATATATTGTAGTGAAATATAATAATATACTGCCTCCTTAACCTATTGAACCATGGACAATCATAAAACACGTGAAAACCTTATAAAATACATACATGCTCCTCCCACTCGCATATTTGTTCAATCTCTCTTTAATGCTACCCAAGGTCCTATCAAAGCTAAAACCTTGTAGTTTCAAATTTAGGTTGGAGAAATACATGAGTGAGAGGGGTTGGATTTGAGTGGGACTTGCACGTGAGTAAATAGATTTATCAAAGCTTATTGCTTGGGTAGCGTTTATTTTGTTAGCGGGTTGGATTTGTGAAGGACCTACCTAGTATGGGCCAACAGGCCTACTGCAGTGTTCCTCCTTCCTTATGTTCTTATAAACAATCAAAATACGTACATGAAAACATCGTAAAATATTGTACTGCCTCCACTGCTGCCTCGTATTTTTGTACAATTTCTTTCTTCAATACTATTGTGTTTCTCAATTTCTTTTCCGGAGGGCTAGCACTAGCAAGTTTCTTTGGGCCCATGGTTAATTATGTAGTGTAGCAGTCACACTCAATCAACAAGCACCAAACACAATGAATTATTGTGAAATGTTTGGAAGAGTGCAGAGGCTAATACTCACTCCAGCACAACCAAAGCCACACTGACTCACGATGCCTCAGCCACTTCGTACACCACTGCTTCAACCCTCGTATTTTTATGCAATTTCCTTCTTCAATTTTATCATATTATTATTATTATTTTTTTTTTTCCCAACAAGTTGGCCGTCTCCCACCGAGGCAAGGTGACCCAAAAAGAAAGAAAATCCCCAAAAAGAAAATACTTTCATCATCATTCAACATTTTCACCTTACACATAATCACTGTTTTTGCAGAGGTGCTCAGAACACAACGGTTTAGAAGCATATATATATATAAAGATACACAACATATCCCTCCAAACTGCTAATATCCCAAAACCCCTCCTTTAGAGTGCAGGCATTGTACTTCCCATTTCCAGGACTCAAGTCCGGCTATATAAAAATAACCGGTTTGCCTGAATCCCTTCACTGAATATTACCTTGCTCACACTCCAACAGATCGTCAAGTCCCAAATACCATTCGTCTCCATTCACTCCTATCTAACACGCTCACGCACGCCTGCTGGAAATCCAAACCTCTTGCCCACAACACCTCCTTTACCCCCTCCCTCCAACCTTTCTGAGGACGACCCCTACCCCGCCTTCCTTTCCCTACAGATTTATACACTTTCCATGTTATTCTACTTTGATCCATTCTCTCTAAATGACCAAACCACCTCAACAAACCCTCTTCAGCCCTCTGACTAATATTTTTATTAATTCCACACCTTCTAATTTCTACACTCTGAATTTTCTGCATAATATTTACACCACACATTGCCCTTGGACAGGATATCTCCATTGCCTCCACCCGCCTCCTCGCTGCAGCATTCACAACCCAAGCTTCACACCCATATAAGAGTGTTGGTACCACTATACTTTCATACATTCCCTTCTTTGCCTCTATAGATAAATTTTTTGTCTCCTCATATACCTCAATGCACCACTCACCTTTTTTCCTTCATCAATTCTGTGGTTAACCTCATCCTTCATAATCCCATCTGCTGACACATCAGCTCCTAAATATCTGAAAACATTTAGTTCTTCAGCTCTCTATATTATTTTATATTATCATTCATAAGCTTTATTGAAAATCAGCAATCCTCTTAATGTAAAATATTTAACAGGGTTTTGTTTTATAGCTTGTATGACAGGATGCTAGTATACTTCCCTTTATGACTGATCTTCACCAGCCTATTTACATTACAGCCTCTCCTCACTTAACAACGGAGTTCCGTTCCTAAGACCACATTGGTAAACGAATCCATCGTTAAGTGAGGAACATACTATAATGGTAGTGAGTTTGTGTCAACCATCTGATATTGTTTTAATGTCACCTTTGCACTGTTTATAACATTTCTGGTGTACTTCTAAATGTTTATACAGTACTGTACTGTATATTGTAATAAACAGAATAGAGGAAATCAGCTCTTATTATACTTTAACCCTTTCAGGATCTGTCCCGTAGATCTACGGCTTTACGTTCAGGGTCCAAACCGTAGATCTACGTCATGAGCTCAGCTCACTCTGATAAACTGTGAGTGGTGCATTTGGGCCTAGATATGAGAGAATACATCTATGTGGTATGTGTGCACCACATAAAACAGATTCTGCAGCACACTGTGTATAATGAGAGAAAAAAAACTGAAATCATGATTTTTTGATTAAAACAGCGACTTTGCAGTGTTTTTTGTATGTTTTTTATAGTTGTATTTGCGATTTCTTGGTCTCATTTGATAGAATGGAAGACATATTACAGAAATAGAGATGATTTTGATTGGTTTTAGCACTGGAAATGGCTTGAAACTGAGCTCAAAGTAGCAGAAATGTTAAATTTTTGCCGATATTCAAGAGTAAACAAACGACCTCACACGTCTAATACACGCCAGCTGGTGGGTCTAATGTGCATTCACAAATATGGTGATGATATTTATACAATTATTACAGTATTGCATAACAGTAAATCTTTCTATTTTTTGGTGTGAATAAAAATTCATTATGTGAATAAAAAATAAAAATGGAATTTATTTGTAAAGCCTCAAAACGTAACTAATGAACAGAGGAATACCTGCATTGTTTATTCTGGACCCTATTTTGAAATTGGAATATTTCGAACTTTGTGTTAAATTGGCCAAATTAACAATTTCCGATCACTTTAATTTGTAGTTGAAACAGTTGACTTGGCGATTTCTTGTGCTCAATCGATAGAATAGAAGTAATACTAGTGAAATAGCTTAGAATTTGGTTGACTGGAATAATGTAATTGGCTTAAGATGGGAGTCAAAGTCGGCAAAATCGCCGATTCGTAAATGTCACTGACACATCAAAATTCACGAGAGCATAATTTCGTCAATTTTCCATCAAATTTCGTACTTTTTGTTTTATTACCTTCACAAAAAGATTCTCTACCATTTCATAAGAAAAAATAACAAATTTTTTTTTTTTTAAATTCTTGGACACTAGGGCACCACTTCAGATTTGGGCCTTGGACCCTGAAGGGGTATTTGTACACTTGTCAGAGAGCCCATTGTAAGTCCGAGTTGTTGGTAAAACGAGTACGTCACTAAATGAGGAGAGGCTGTATTACAGGACTTGAGTCCTGGAGGTGGGAAGTACAGTGCTTGCACTCTAAAGGAGGGGTGGGGTTATTTGCTGTTTAGAGGGACACCTAAAGTGTCGTATCTGCATGCCTCTGACAAGACAGTGATAGTGTGAATGGTGATGAAAGTGTTTCTTTTTCAGGTCACCCTACCTTGGTGGGAGATGGCCAGTGTGTTAAAAGAAAAAAAAAAGCAAAGCAACTACCTTATAGTTAAAAAAAAAAAAAAAAAAAACTACCTTGTATTTAGGGGATCTAAATTCAGAATAATTTGTCAAAAAATTTCTTTAAAATATATGTACATGTACAGTATTGTATTAATTATGCCTTATATTGAAGTTAGTTAAATTGCCAGTATTAATTTAAAATAGTTGATTTTTAGCAAAAATGTTAACGTATTTTTCTTTCCTTTTCCCTAGGCTTCATGGGCTGGTAACTGCTCGACAAAATGATAGATCGACTATCAGTGGACTTGAGCGTCGGCTTCAGGAGGAGCGCCGTGCTCGTACTGCTGCTGAAAATCAAGTAGCACAGTTAGAGCGGCGACAAAAGAAAGTTGAAGAGCAAGCACAAGCTAGAGCACACGCCTTAGCCAATGCCAAGTAAGCATATTACATCTCTCCATATCCCAAAGACAGTTTTGTGTACAATACTGTGCTTGTAAATTGTTGAATATATAATGGTGGTTTTTTGTATACTATTTTCTAATCTGTATTGTCTTCTGGATACTAAAAATTTCTTGAATTGGTACATTTTTTTTTTTTTAGCATTACTCTCTCTATTGTTCAGAAATAAGTATTTTCATTTATGTTCATTTTGTATTTCCTTGATCAGCTGTGTAGCTGTTTAAATATATCCAAAATACTACAATTGACTCTTGAACAACATGCGTTTGAACTGTGCAGGTCCACTTATACGTGGACTTTCTCAATAAATATATTGGAAAAGTTTTTGGAGATTTGTGACCGAAAAAATGAAGTTAGGTGTGTCATGAATGCATACAATACTATATGTAGATACTAGTCTGTTCTATCATTACCATAAAATATACACAATTTTTTTATAAGAAGTTAAAATTTATCAAAACTTACGCACACAAACAATTACAGATCACACATGTTCCATTTGCAGTCGAGAGAAATGTAAGCAAACATAAAGAGGGATATGTTGTGTATCTTTATACGTATATGCTTCTAAACTGTTGTATTCTGAGCACCTCTGCAAAAACAGTGATAATGTGTGAGTGTGGTGAAAGTGTTGAATGATGATGAAAGCATTTTCTTTTTGGGGATTTTCTTTCTTTTTTGGGTCACCCTGCCTCGGTGGGAGACGGCCGACTTGTTAAAAAAAAAAAAAATCACTGTCTTTGCAGAGGCACTCAGGTACAACAGTTTAGATGTCACTTCGAACAGCCAGTATCTCAAACCCTTCGTTTAAAGTGCAGGCATTGTACTTCCCACCTCTAGGACTTAAGTCTGGCTAACTGTTTTCCCTGAATCCCTTCACAAAATATTACCCTGCTCACACTAACAGCTCGTCAAGTCCCAAAAACTATTTGTCTCCATTCACTTCTATCTAACTCACACACACACATGCCTGTTGTATGTCCAAGCTCCCTTGCACACAAAACCTCTTTTACTCCCTCCCTCTATCCTTTCCTAGGATGACCCCTACCTCTCCTTCCCCCCACTACAGTAATAATATAATATATAATAATAAAATAATATTATTACAGAACATACATGTTCCATTAGGAGTCGAGAGAAATGTAAATTTTCAATATAATATTAAATCATAAATAAATATGACCTAGGTAGTAGGTTGGTAGACAGCAACCGCCCAGGGAGGTACTACTGTCCTGCCAAGTGAGTGTAAAACGAAAGCCTGTAATTGTTTTACATGATGGTAGGATTGCTGGTGTCCATTTTTTGTCTCATACACATGCAAGGTTTCAGGTACGTCTTGCTACTTCTACTTACACTTAGGTCACACTACACATACATGTACAAGCATATATATACACATCCCTCTGGGTTTTCTTCTATTTTCTTACTAGTTCTTGTTCTTGTTTATTTCCTCTTATCTCCATGGGGAAGTGGAACAGAATTCTTCCTCCGTAAGCTATGCATGTTGTAAGAGGCGACTAAAATGCCAGGAGCAAGGGGCTAGTAACCCCTTCTCCTGTATAAATTACTAAATTTAAAAAGAGAAACTTTTGTTTTTCTTTTTGGGTCACCCTGCCTCAGTGGGATACGGCCGGTTTGATGAAAAAAAAAAAATATGAATTTCCTTTTCACATTATCTTTTTATTTTTGATGTCTAGTGTTTGTATTTTGTATAACATGTACAGTTTTTTGTATCATATAAGACAATGTAAGTACTGACAGACGATTTATCTTGTAAACAGGTATTGTGTATTGTGTAAACAGTTGATGTAAACTTATGGTATCGATAAATACAGTACAGTACTGTAAATGTATTTTGGCTTCCTTAAGATTTTCTTAATAACATTTTCTTTTCTCTAGCTTACTCTATTGTAAGAATAGGGTATATAATACACATACAAAATACGTGTTATTCGACTGTTTGTTATCGGTAAGGTTTCTGGTCAGCAGTAAATTATTAGTAGTTAAGTTTTTGAGGAGTCGAATGTTATATGCAGATTTTTGACTGCACGAGAGAGAAATTCGGCACCCCTATCTGTATATCGTGCAATTACAAAATAGTATAGCAAATACAGTCAACAGGTGTAGCTATATTTTAATTTTGATTGTATTTTTCTTTTGATTCATTCATCTCTTACTCTAACATTGTCTTGAGCACACATTTTGTTTTTATGTAAATTGTTTCTATAGTAAATTACCTGCAGCATTTACAGAAACAATTTTAAAACACTGAAAAAGTGTCTCAGAAACTGCTTTCATACATGCTTAGAATAAGTTGCTGTTTTTGATGTGAAATGGATTATGCAGTCACAGAGAAGGCACTAAAATTTCTGTTCTAGGAGGCTTAGAGGTGGCTGTGAGGGATTGGAATCGGGAACTGAGAGACTTGTTTTGAAGCAGTGTTAATGTTATTACTGTTTTTATTTGGGAAGTCTGAGGTAATTTTTGGGGTTCTGAAGAGTCCCCAAGCCCCTCTATAGCACTGCCACTGTGCATTCTGGAAACTATTGCTCATTGTATAATAAAAAATAACCTTATATCTGCACTTTTTGTTTTAGGAGTGAATGCAGCGAATCTTGTCGCAGTCGTCGTAATGAGCTTGAGGCTGAACTAAAGCGTTTACGACGTGATCATCGTCTGTCAGAAGACCGTGTCCGAAATGTGGAACGAGAAAATATAACACTACGACAGTACAAGGATAACCAAAATGACACTGAGGTGCTCATGTCTGCACTTTCTGCCATGCAGGATAAAAACACACATTTGGAGACTTCACTATCTGCAGAAACCAGAGTCAAGTTAGACCTTTTCTCTGCCCTTGGAGAAGCAAAAAGACAGTTGGAGATCTCACAAGGTATGAATATGGATATACATTAAGCCTGTTGTTCTTTTCCTTTAGAACAAGTTAAACAACTTATAGTGACAAACAACTTAATGAAATTGTTTAACTCTTAACTGTTCTATGCCTTAGGGATGGTGTCTACTAAAGACAAGGAAATTGAAGACTTAAAGGCCAAGATCACAGAAGTGTTAGCAGTGTGCCCACCAACTAGTTTCCACAATGCCTCTCTTGACTCGACACCCATTCATTACACTTCAAAGCTTCTACCACAGGTCAGTATAATATTGAACTCTGGTGCATTACTGATTGCTGGATCTTATTCACCATTTGTAAGATACACATTTCCTAAAAAAGTATAAAATATGAAAGAAAAGCAATGTTTGGGGAAGAATGTGGATATATTTTTTGTGCTGAGAGGAGCTGAATACATAGCTAGAGATAAAACCATTCCTGCTCTAACATGCTTTATATTTCTCATCATTTGAAGTAGTTGTAATGTATATTTTGACTGTTTGTGACCAAATTAGCACAGTTGCATTTCCATCACTTAGTTTTCTTTCAGTTCTCTAGCATTATCCTTGCCTGAATATTATCAGACAACCAGGTCCATGAAGGTTAGCTTCCTGTGAATTAAAAATCCCCAAATGCCATTAAATTTTGTCCATATAATAATGTTTCCAATTTGGGGTCATTTTATGTTTATAAGCAATATTAATCTAACCTCATTATTATTGATACAGTAATTTGATATTATTTGTTCTTATTGTATCCATTTAAATTCTTACTTGCATAATGTGTTGTATATGTATTTTGACATTTAAGCTTTTAGCTGTAATTAAAAATGTTTAGACCATTAAAATGTGTACTCATTTATCTATGAGTATAAATGTTATTAATGCTGAGAAGAAAGTTGAAAGCAAACATAGGTAAGAGTAAGGTGATGAGGGTACCAAATGAATTAGGTAAAGAAAAATTAGATATCACATTGGAGAGAGGGCATATGGAAGAGGTGAATGTGGTCAGATACTTGGGAGTAGACTTGTCAGCAGATGAGTTTATGAAGGATGAAGTTAACCATAGAATTGATGAAGGAAAAAAGGTGAGTGGTGCATTGAGGTATCTGTGGAGACAAATAACATTATCTATGGAGGCAAAGAAGGGAATGTATGAGAGTATAGTAGTACCAACACTCTTATATTGGTGTGAAGCTTGGATTGTAAATTCTGCAACAAGGAGGAGGCTGGAGGCAGTGGAGATGTTAAGTCTAAGGGCATTGTGTGGTGTAAATATTTTGCAGAGAATTTGTAGTGCAGAAATTAGGAGATTTGGAGTTATTAAAAGTATTATTCAGAGGGCTGAAGAGGAGTTATTGAGATGGTTTGGTCATTTAGAGAGGATGAAGCAAAATAGGATGACTTGGAGGGTGCATAAATTTGTAGTGGAGGGAAGGAGGGATAGGAGTTGTCCTAGGAAAAGATAAGAGGGAGGGGGTAAAAGAGGTTTTGTGTGCAAGGGGCTTGGACATGCAGCAGGCATGTGAGAGTTTGTTAGATAAGAGTGAATGGAGACAAATGGTATTTGGGACCTGACGATCTGTTGGAGTGTGAGCAGGGTAATATTTAGTGAAGGGATTCAGGGAAACCAGTTATTTTTCTATAGCCGGACTTGAGTCCTGGAAATGGGAAGTATAATGCCTGCACTCTAAAGGAGGGGTTCGGGATATTGGCAGTTTAGAGGGATATGTTGTGTATCTTTATACGTATATGCCTCTAAGCTGTTGTGTTCTGAGCACCTCTGCAAAAACAGTGATTATGTGTGAGTGAGGTGAAAGAGTTGAATGATGATGAAAGTATTTTCTTTTTGGGGATTTTCTTTCTTTTTGGGTCACCCTGCCTCGGTGGGAGACGGCAGACTTGTTAAAAAAAAAAAATTGTGTGAATAATGGTGAAAGTGTTGAATGATGGCAAAAGTGTTTCTTTCTTGGGTCACCCTGCTCGGTGGAAGACGGCTAATGTTTTGGAAAAAAAAAAAACTGTATAACTGAAGATTCTTTTAGGAAATTTGTCTTTTATTGCTAAAATGTCAAAATATTGGTTTATGAAGAACCATTATGAAAAGTTATTTATTGAACATGCAGTTTTATTAAAAGTCCAGTTTTTTTTATCTACAGTGTTTCATTGTTGTTTCATTTTTTAAGTGCTGTAGTTCATATTTTTTAATTTTATGAATACATGAACTAATACTTATGTCTTTTGAACATGGCTTTTACTTCATGACATTGCCTGTTCAAGAACTTATATCCTGCAGGTGACAACTTGTGTTATGGAACCAACTGCTTCCTTAGTGATGGTTGATGGCCTCATGGATACATCACTGGACTCTCTGTGTGGGCTTGGCTTTACTCCTGCTGGACACACCCGTCCTCACACACTCTCTCCGCCTGTTCCAATCTCTCCGCCTGTTCCTATCTCCCCGCCTGCACCAATCTCCCCACCTGCTCCCAAGAATCCACAACACTCTACATTGGATCCCAATGCTCGTGTCTACACTCCCAAGGGCACTGTGACATCTGAGGCTTAACTCAAGAGCCCAGGAATGGCAAGATCATAGCTGAAAGGTTTTAGGCAGAATTTTAATAGTTTCCATATTTGTTTAGGCTGACATTCTGGGTGTGAACACAAATAGAGTCAAGTGTTTTCAGGTGTGGCTTTCATTTTTTTTTTTTTTTTTTTTTTTTTTTTTTTTTTTTCTTTTGCTATAGTTGACCATTTTGCTGTGTCTGACACCTGCTTAAGAGTAGATTATGTAGCTGAACATCAACAGTCTGCTAATCAACCAGATGTTAATTGTTTATTAGGCCCCAATGAGTCAGTTTTAGTTAGGAAAGCATAAAGTTTCAATACCAGTGACTAGTTTGTATCAAAATATGAAATGGACATACTTTTTATTTATTGAGGAATGAAGTATGTCAGTATCTGGCTTCATAATAAAATTATTATTTTCACAAAATATTTATTAGTTATTTTCATTCATGCACATTGCATCATTTCATCCTCCTGTTGCTCATCTGCATTAACTCTGTTATCCAGCTTACTGACTATACAAGAACTTCATGTGGATGTAAAAAGCCTTTATTTAGAAAAGATAGCTATTATCTTAAGACTGGGTATTATTAATATAGATAGAGGACAATAATAGTTTGCTTATCAGTGTTTTATCCTTTAAACCTTTATTGATCATTAATACATTACATATTAAGTTTGACAGAAAATGACAGTTTATCTGGACTATCTTTTCAGCCCCTTTGTGGTTTCCATTCCTGCAATAGGAATTTCTTCTTGATCTTAATTAAAATATTTTGTTGTCTTGTAATTGTATTACAAGGAGAGTGAAGATTCAATAGACTTAACCTGTAATAAGCCTATGTATTGCACCTGTAGCTACACTAACACACCTGTGGTTATCAGACTAATAGACTGAATGGGGAAGGTGTTTGTATGATTACCTATTTGAATCTGAGAGGCTGAATTTTATCATCTAGGCCTGGCTCTTAGCTAAAGTGATTTTTCTGTTTTTTTTTTTTACTTTGTACATGTGTTTGGGGAAAAGGGAAATAACTTGTTTTTGTTCAAGGAATTTGAGTTACATCTTGCATACCCAGATAGGTGTAGGTGTGTGTATGTGTGTTTTATGTTATAACCTCTTGACCCTTAGTGCATGTGTAATTACTTATTTGAATGTTTGGTTAAGTTCTAGCTCTTGGGTTAACTTTTTAGTTTTATTTTAACAAATTATGTCTAGTATTTACATATGATCCCCTAGATAGTGTTTGCTTCTGCTGTCATTGTCTAGCTCATTCCAGTTTACTGCTATTTGGCTGAACATTTCCTTAGGTTAATGTTTTAGTTGGATATTCACTATTCATTTGTTACACCCTCATTATATATTCTTTCTCCTAGAGTATATAAGCTTTCAATTGTATATTCTCTTGCTCTCTTGTTCCTCCAGGACAGTTCTAGTAGCTCAGTCCTCTCAGCTGTGGTAATATGCTGGATGTATATCTTTAGACTTTTTTTTTTAGTTTGGCTTTGTGTTAGGCTAGGTGTAACAACCACAGTAGTGTGGTGAGGTCAAGAATTGGTTGGACATATGGGAAAAGAATAACTGATTTATTTGTTTGTTTTTTTTAAGCTTGGCTTTGTGTTCAGCCTGACACAACTAGCATTACTTTATGACAGTCTGTTCTTCACATTGCTTGTTATTGCTTTCTCACATATTTCGATTACATGGTACTTGTTTACTGTAAATTCCAACATCTGACTCCAGTTTCTGATTTTATCCAAGTTGTCTTGTAGACATTTGCAATAATTTTTATTGCATATTTTGCAAGTCAGTATGTTCATTTAGTTTTCTGTTCCTTTTTTCTTACTCTTAACATTTTTCTTTCAAATTGGATAAACATCTATAATCCTATGTAAATGGAGAACTCTAAGCAGCAGCTTTTAGCTAAATACAAATAAATGCAATCTCCCTATCTTTTTTCTTGATTAACTGGCAATTAGTATGAAATTAAAAGAAAAAAATCAGAGTGGATAGCTTAGCATTGTGCATTCTTAAAAATTCCATGCTGATAACTTGCCTGATCCTTTTTTTATCAGTATCCAACAGTAATTTTTTTTTCTTCTTTGGTGATTTCAGTGGGATCTATTTTATATGGTTGGTTTTGATGCAAATTAAGTTTCTCTATATTTTACTCTTCTGTAAATGTATTCTGTAACTTTTTAGTTAATGTTTTTCATATTTCTTCCTCCAGTAATAGTAATTTATACCATTGTTTTTGATTCTTCGTATCTTTAATATTTAGTTTACCTTAACTTTTTCAAAGTTTCTTCCTCTCTTCTTACTGTTTGTTCATTTCTGTATTTTTTTAATCTGGTTTGGTGCATTGTGTGTGTTCGTGATTAAATACTTGTTAAGGCTACAAAGACTGAGCAGGTCCATGATTTCTCTCCGCTTTTGCAAGGATCAAGCCTCATGATTGCTGTTGATCTGTCCTTTTAGAACGAGGGGGGGCAAGACGGTGATAATTAATGCACGGGTTATTGCATACATCTTGCTGTATGGGTAGTCCAGTAATTCTGATTTTCTCACCTATCTCTGAAGTGTGTGAATGAGCAGAGAGCAAAAGTTAATAAGCAAGTTACTGTGTGCATAGTGCTGTAAAGGTAGTCCAACAATTGTCTAATTTTCATCTCTTATCACAGCCAAGATGGCATGGATTAACACTGTACTGGCATTTAGTTCGAGCTTATTGTTTGCAGTATATTATTACCCTGTAATATATTATTACCCAGCTCATTAAAATTTAATTATTATTCACCTTATTAGAGCCATTTTGTTTCATGCTAGTATTATAAGAATAATTCTTTAATAATTTTATGCATTTGACAAGCAAAGTGTTGTTTTAAAACTAAGTAAAATTACACAAAAAATGATTTTTCTTAAGTTCTGGAACAGATGGCAACTGTAGCACAGTAATGGATAATTCTTTATCAGTAGTGGATATGAATTCTTCTAAATAATCTTAACCCTGAGTAAATTTCTACATCCTGTGAATTCTAGTTTTTGTAAGGTATCTTTGATAGTTTCCTCATTTTCAGGATTATTTTCATCCCCTGAAGAAATTCAAAGTAGCTGAAACAATAGAATTTTTTTTAGTATTGACTGTATTTGGTAAAAGTTTGTTTACACACTCAAGCAGTAATCCAGACATTTTTGCCAGCATGTCTTGGATAGCTAAGAGAGATTTATTTACTGTAATGTATCATAATACTGTATAATGCACATGTTGTATGGTGAAGAATTGACATTGAAATTGCAGAGCATCAGAAGTGAGAGAAAAATGTATCGAACTTCACTCTCAGAACCCATCACCATACATGCTTCCAGGAGCATTCCATTGTCTACACATAATCATATAAACTTTCTTTAATGTTAACGGAAAACCTCTCATTACTTCATCATTTAATTTAATTTTTTTTTATTTTTCCCCCTTTCACTATAAGTTCAGGTAAATATACCTGCCTGAGTTCCTCTCATAATTGACCTGGTGATTTAAAGTTGAAGGTATCATTTTGTATTGTGTAAATAGTCATTTTTATTTATAATAGAGTAAGTGCCATAAGTACAAATCGTTATAGTTCCTTCTTTTAGGAAGAGCATTTCTCTTATCTTGGGTAACTTTTTTTTTTTTTTTTTTTAAACAAGAGTACATGTCATTTTTTTTTTCATTTTCTGTCTGGATTAAGATGTGTATAATGCTACTTAATCAGAGTTAAGGCATTATCTTATACTGTACACTGTCTCCAAATTAATATTTTCTAGGATCTAAACTGATGTTACAAAGATAATACTATATTGCGGATGGGAACTCATAGAGATTAATCCGCTATGCTGATACTAATTTAGATATAAGATTAACTAAGGGTGTACTTGAGTAATGAGAGTGGAAATAGGTACAAACAAAGTAAAAATTAAGTAACAGACAAATTTAGTAAAAAAATACTGATAAATCTAGAGGAATGCTGTAGAGGTGCCACATGGAGAAACATACAGAGGTCATAGTGGGTGTATGAAATTTGGAATAAGTCATACTGCTCTGTAATGGGATAAAGAATATAGAATATAAATATAGCTTGAGATTTGTAGAGACTAAATTACTGTCCATGGATTCATAGCCCTTGTGGCTTAGCGCTTCTTTTTGATTATAATAATAATAATGTCCATGGATTCAGTGTGGGGGCCACCATAAGCTTCAAGTAAAAATTGTATGTTGCTATTTAATACAGAGTTTCAACACTTCACAGGAGTACAGTTAGTTCTCTTAGGTGGTACTTTTATAAAATGAAAGTTTTTAATTATGGAAAAGAAAGCTTTCAAAATTTTTGGTGAGCTAGGAAGAGTGAAGAAGTTGCTCTTTGTAAGGCATACATACCATTTACTTGGTATGTGGTAGTATGTGGCCCTAAGTCAACTGATCAAACTAAAAGAATTATACTGTGTACACAAAAAAAAAAACCATACACAAGCACACACATGCAAAAGCACACACACACAAGCGCACACATGCACAAGCACACACACACATGCACACACACAAGCACACACACAAGCACACACACACACAAGCACACACACACAAGCACACACACACAAGCACACACAACAAGCACACACACAATGCACACACACATGCACACACACATGCACACACACAGCACACACATGCACACACACACAAGCACAGCACACACACAAGCACACAACAAGCACACACACACAAGCACACACACAACACACACATGCACACACAAGCACACACACAGCACACACACACATGCACAACACCACACATGCACAACACACACATGCACACACAACACAGCACACACACACACACACACACACACACACAACAACACACACACACACACACACACACACACACACACAACACACACAGCCACATCACACACAGCACACACACATGCACACACACACATGCACACACACATGCACACACACAACACACATGCACAACATCACACATGCACACAACACACAGCACACACTCACACACATGCACAACACATGCACACAATGCACAACACACACACATCACACACACACACACATGCACACACACAGCACAACACACAGCACACACACATGCAACACACATGCACACACATGCACACACACACATGCACACACGCGCACACAAGTACACACACAAGCACGCACGCAGCCCGCGTGCGCACACACACACACACACACGAGGCGGCGAAGAGGCGGGCCAGGAACTGTGACTCGACCCTGCAACCACAAATAGGTGATACACACACACACACACACACACACACACACACACACACACACACACACACACACACACACACACATACACACACACATACACACATGTACACACACACACGTATATATAGAATGGTATCCTACATTTTTTTAATACAACGACCATTACTCTCCAAGGCCGGGCAACATGTAGACAATAAATCCACACAGGATGTCAAAAACAGTATATCTAGGGTAACAAGTCAGGTGAAAAAGATTCAAAGAAAGGGGCACTGCAGTAGGCCTACTGGGCCATAAAAGAACTAAGAACAAAGGTAGATTTTCTATAACTACACTGCTAATTTATCTGTGATCTGATAAATTTGTTGCTGAAATATGCTTTTTCAGTGCAAATTTTCATATAAAATATGGTCTCAATTCTCCCTTGAGTAAATAAAATTTTTATTGTGTTGATTAAAGTTGATTTGATGATTTTTTCTCCTCTAAGTGCAGGTTACTTTTGTGTGTGACTGAAGCTTCACATCATTTGGTCGTGTGGTTGAAATGTTCCATATGTTGGAAGAGCAGAGTTTTCTTGACCCTATATTAATACCACATGTTCAACCAACTGTTTGTCCAGACAATGTGTTGTCTGTCCTATGTACACCAAGTTATAATTGTTACAAGGAGATGGGGTTCGTATGTTTGGAAAAAGCATAAAGTTTGTTAAGATGAGAAACTGTTGGGTCAGAGATTTTATTCACACTCTGTGCTACCTCTTAATGAAATGGAACACCAGTTGAATATTTGCATTTTTACTAGTAATAACTTTTGTCTTTGAGAAATTCTTATTAGTTCTATATAGACCTGCTTGTATAAAACCAGTCATGGTAGCCTAATGCCTAAAATTATCTGATAGTATCTCTTTCTCAGTCTCACTCAGTGGTACTACAAATCCTCAGTGCTTTAAGAGGCACACTAGATACATTACTTTCCTTAATCTGAGTGACACGATGGCTAAAGAAATTTAGTCTTATTTTTAAGAGCATTGAGAATTTGTAGTCCCATTTATTTCGACCGAGAAAAAGACACTATCAGACAAGAAGCTGAGGCATTAAGATATCATGATTAGTTTTTACAAACACATTTGCATAAAGCTAATAGGAATTTCTATAAATCTGAAGTTAGTAGTAGTAAGAATGCAGAGATGCAGTTGGTGGTTCCATTTCACTAAGGAATAGCATATTAAATAAAATGTCAGATCCAGCCTTTTCTTATTCCAGTAAAATTGGTAAAACTTTCTCCAGAAGCCTGTCTTCAATGAATATTAATGTGCTGTTAGATATGGTCAAGAAAACTCAACACTCTTCCAAGATATGGAACATTTCAACTATACTATCAAATGGAATGAAGATTCAATTACACACAAAAATGCCTGTCCTTACAAGAGAAAAATTGTTGAATCAGCTTTAATCAATACAAGAAAATCTCAGTTTCTTGAAGGGACATTGGAGACAAAATTTTATTGGTAAATTTGGATTTATTTTTTTTAACACACTGGTATTCTTCCAAGGTAGGGTGACCCAACAAAGAAGAAAACACTTTCACTGTCACTCATTCAATGATTGTCTTGCCAGAAGTGCACCAACATCACAATTCAATTGATCCTCCAAACCACAACATCCCTGCCTCTCCTTCAGACTGTACGTTCCACATAAAGGACTCAAATTCAGATTTTTTTTTTTTCCTGAAGCTCTTCATAAATGTTATCGTGCTTACACTGCAACAACATGTCAAATCGTAGGTTCCACTTGCCTCCACTCCTATCTAACAAGCACACATACACACACCTGTTGGATGCCCAAGCCCCTCACACATAAGCTTTCTTTACCATCTCCCTGCAAAGGGTCCTAGGAAGACCCTGACCCCTCCTTCCCTCCACCCTAGATTTATACACCCTCTTAGTCATACATACATATACATACAAACACATCCATACATACATGCATTCATTTTTATTTGAAGACAATTTATATTTTGCCAAGCAGGGCTATAAAAGATAAGAGGTTTTTGTAATTTTTGCATTCATTATGAAGTGTGTTGTCAATTTTCAGAACATAGAGATCTTTAATTAACACCTAAAAAAACATTGATCCCAAAACATTTTTCTTGGAAGTATACAAAACGTTAAAATTGTATGCACATTCTGATATACAATATATAAAATAGTGGGTATTTTTGGGCATTTTAATTTTTCAAATAATTGAATACACCTCACATTGATGCTCTGCATATATAGACAAAATTTTTTAAGATGTTGGCATTTCATCATTCATGATAGCTTCTTGACACATCAGAAGTTCTTTACATAGAGATAAATCTAGCGAGGATAGGGTATCAGTGTTTTAAAGTAATAAAGGGGGAAGAGTGTAAGTAGTAGCAGCAGACACAGCATATAACTGGTCTTGCTTTCATAAATTATACATTTCAGCTCCTTTCCATTCTAAGGGTGCATAATAGTCGAGCATTTGTTAGTGACAATTCTGTCATGCAAATGCTCAGTGGGGGGGGAAGGGGGGTTACACAAGAGTGATCGACCTCAGATGTGTCCTCGGGTAAATAGCCATGGAGAGTGTTGTAGGACAGTGGCCGGAATTCTTACACACCTCTTGAGCAGAAATTACAACAGTAGTCAGTCAGTCAAATATTGGACTGCATCATAAAAACAGTGCAGTCATTATATTGAGTTGGTCTGAAAAACAAATTGTAGGTCTCAAGCAGTGACAAGAGTTGTGGGCAGTGTGTTTGCTGTATAACTTGATGTCCCTATTAACTGTTAATTACCCAGGTTAGTAGCCCCAAACATGGATTGGTGTCTGTGTGTATCATAGCTTTATGTTTGGTGCAGATTTTCTTCTCTGCCCATCTTTACTGTAGACTTATTTAATTTTTCCTCTTCAGTGTTGGAAATAATGACAGTAAGAGAATTATTTTTATTCACGTGTCCTCTTCATGGAAAACTCTGCCTGTTTCATAGAAATTGATATTTTTGTATGTAATTCCATGAAGTCTCACGCTGCTGAGAGAGAATGCAGGGTGCAACATTATCATTATAATTTATATTTTTTCTGAAGTTACTTTTCAAAAATATTGATTTTGTTAAATTGTAATTTAAAAAAATTATATCAATGCATAATAACTTGCAAATGATCTATCCTGATTTACTTTTCTTATCAGTTGTCAGTTCAAATGAACCAAAGGCACAAAATGTTTCTCTTTGTGATATTAACAATGTTGTGATATTTTCAAGTTGTGTTCCAAACTCACTCAAGAAAAAGAATATTATGTTTTTGTGACATTCATATTTGGCATTGCTGAGCCTTGTCCAATAACGTGGGAAGGAAACAAAGAAAAAATGGGACCCTCACTGAGCCGAGAATACTGTAGTGTATAACCAGCAGAGATGGGAAGCACCATGTCATGAGAGATGGAAGTTGTTTGAGCAGAGTAACAGTAGTCCCTGTTTAGAAGCACTAATTTTCATAGAGCATTAATACTGATCATCTGAGCAGCTACCTAGCTCCTAGTGTAATGTTTCTTTTATCTTGGCAAGCGCATTTCCTAGTCTACAGAGATCACTGTTTGCACGTGTTCAATTGTATTTGGGCACTAGTTAGCTGTGACATTATATTTGGGTAGGCTAGGCAGCCAGTCAAGCTAAAGTGTGAATAGTATTCCAACATAGTTGTGTTTTCAGTTTATTACATGAAGTAATACAATAGCTGCATGATAGCTTTTATTAAAGAATTAGACAATTTGTTACCACGTTTGATTTTTTAGCTAGTAAAATGTAAGCCTAATACACAAGATTTTTTAATTAAATTTTTTGGCTACACATTTAAAGAAGAGAATGTTATATAACTGGAGATTGCCTCAGTGACCAGTAAGTGTGCTTCCCTCTCTTCTCTTGTGCATTTTGAGTGTCACATTGTTTTGCCTCTGTTTCTGCTTTACTAGTATTGAAATAGTTTAACATTTGATCTTGAATTGTATCATTACAAAAGTCAACAATGTGACTGGTACTGATAATTGTGCTGCCAGTTGCAGTACCTGGTAGCTGAGAACTTGAGCACAGTAACCCAGAGGTTGTACTATGGTAGAGTCAAGAAAACCTCACCACTATAAACTCAGACTCCTCTGTAGAATGAAACTTTATTATTTTTGTACTTACAAGTCCTAGTGAAGCGTGGTACTTAAAAAAGTGTACTTGGTCAGTTAACTTGGCTTCCAGGCACTGCATCTTGCACCATTGATGTAAGTCTGAATGTTGTGTTTCATTTTGCCATATGTGTTGTGAACCAAGA